GTCTGCGGCTGCCGTGCACTCCCTACCCCCGTCGGCACGACCTCACTGACGAGGTCGATCTGCTGCGCACCCCGTGTGCCGATCACGTTCCCCGTCAGTATCAGCTCAAGCGCACGCGGCAGGCGCTGTGTGCCCCATCATCGAGCCCGACGCTCCTGCTGGCGCAAACGTATGTGCACGCTCGGCGCTGTCGGACAGCATCCGGGACACGGACCAGGCCCGACACGCCACGCCGAACGCCGCATGATCTCGGCGATGGGGATGTCCGCGAACAGCGACGATTTCAGGCGCCCCGCGTACGCAAGGCCTGTAAGATGCCCGAGAGCGCACCGCATCACAAGGAGATGGGCCAAACCAGCGGTCAGCGCGGTGCTTCAACACATTTCTTTCACATTCACTGCCGAGCGTCACCATTGACGGGGCTAGGTAAAAGGGGCGACGGACACCTTGCAAATGAGACTTTCGTAGCTGGCTACACATGCATCTCGTGTTTTTCGTCTGCTGCCGCTGGCGCTCATGTGATGATGGGCTTGTTGATGTCCGTGCGCCGCGACGGACCGATCAAGCCCAGCGCCTCGCCGCTGGCAGAGCATAGTGGCGATGTCGGCAGCGGCAATGCGATGAACGGCATTAGAGTTACAACAATGTACCGCCACACCAGAGGACGCACCGATTATGCTGCTGCATATCCCCCTCTGTAAGCGGCGCGCGCCCATGTTCCTCGATCAAGTTGGCGCCATCGTTGGTGAGGACGGCGACGCTCGCCGTCTCGTGGCGCGCGAAGGAATCTAAATGCGTTGAGCAACTCGCGGTGCAGGCGCGTGTTGATGCAGTTGAACGTTCCCGGGCTGCTCAGCGGCAGCAGAATAGCGCGCCCATCGTGCAGCGTGTACAGTCGGAGCTCGGAGGCAGCGGTAGTCCTGTCGTGTGGCTCGTCGTGATGAGAACTTCCCTCACCCTATGTATGTACACGTTATTGGCCTCGATTCTTCGTCCAAGCGGGCTCTCACTGCTCTTTGCATGCAAGACCTCGATCATTCCAGGCATCGAGGCTTGCTGCAACAGGTTACACTTGGGAAGCAACCTTCTAGACTCTCCTCTTGAATAGTGCAGGGTCTTTAAAACTCCAAAGGGTGGGAGTGGCTTTCTTGGTGCCACGGTCACCGGCTCCGGCGATCAGAGTCGGTCCGAATGCCGGCTGTGCCAGCGTCAGCGCATCCTCAATAATCTCCAGCTGCACTTGCTGCAAAAGTCAATGCTACGCAGCGCGCGTGTTTGTAACATTTGCTGCTTACGGCCGGACGACTTGGCGGTGAGTACCGTTGCAGGATGCAGAGTGCTGAAACTGCGCAGACCTTTGTGGCAGTCGGCAGCATTGCGAGTTAAGTGTCTCCAGCTAGCGCGAGCTCAAAGCTTCGGTTACTTGTTAGGCACTTCCTGGTTTGGACGGCCGCAAGGGTGTGCAGCCCATCATGAAAGAGACAATGTGAAAGATGCTGCAGCAATTCAAATGCGCAAGGGTATGAATGTAAAAATACACAAGTGGCGCAAGCCGGGAGCTGTATAGCTCATCCTCTCTGCTTGAGCTCTTCAGAATGCTGACGCATGAGTGCCTTGATCTCGCCAACGATCTCGCCCGCCTGTTTGGGGCTGTCCGCCTCAAAGTCGTACCGCTTCGTCTCCCTTGGCACCTCGCGCCGGACGATCAGCTTGAAAATGTGCGGACCTTTCGTTGAGATATCACACACAGTGACCGAGCCGACGTGGAACGAGGCTGCGCGCGTCTGGAACGCGCGCACGTCCAGCGGCATGATATGGATCCAGTCGCCGTCCAGCGTCAGGCTGCGCTGCTCGTGCCTGCTGACGAATATCGGCGTTTTTCGTGTGACAGTCCAGGACTGTGACGGCTCGCCAGAGCAGTATCAGCCAAGCCCTTGTCGTCACAAGCGCAAGGCGCCACTCACCTTGTATACGGAGGCAATGTCCTGCATGGTTTTGTAACGCGGTTGCGCAGGCTCCGAGTGCCGCTTGTTGAAGATGGACGCGTTCGGATTGGTGCTTCGCCCGGTCAGTGCACCCGCTACTCCTTTCATGCCAAGCGTGGACCGACGAACGAGCGCGAGGTCGTGGGTGCCTTGCAGGCTCTCTACCGTACGGTCAAGCGGGACAATGATATCCTTGTCCGGTACAATGAGCGCCCACTCGTCCGGGGAAGACAGGTGTCGCTTGCGACATATCATCTCGAGGACATCCGCAAGGTACATCTCCGATGGCACTTGCAGAGTCGTCTTGTAGCGGACCTCTGAATTTGGTGTGACGAGCACACGCAAGAAGACGCCCGTGCTCATAGGAGCATTGAGGCTCCTTCCCTGTGCTGATGATGCAAGGACCGAAGTGTCTTCATTGACTGGAACAGAGTGAGGCGTCAAAGCATTAAGGCTGTCAGCATTCAGTGGCGCCAGACCTGACATTGCCATTTTGCTGGTGCCGGTGGTCCGAGAGATACGGCGCTTGATGTTGTTATATGCGGCCTGATTGTGTTTGACTGTCAAGAGCCGGGGCCATTAGCATGCAGCTTTGCCCCTCCAAGCTGTCTGCCGGAACACTTACTCTGTGTTTCGTTGGCCTCCACAATTGCAAACTCATCGTTTCCAAATCGACCGACCGTTAGAGTGCGATCGATGGCAGGGTAATCATCGTCCACCTCTCCGTCCTCTACCACACGAAGGACCCAGCCGACTGTCGTCAGCTTAAACCCCTTTTGCGTTTCCGGCACGCTCTCCTCGTGCAAGCTTGGGCCCCAGCCTTGTTCAACAAGGCAAAACAGGCCAAACCCGATGAGCTCCTCCATCGTCGCATCCTTGCGCACATTCATTCTCATGCGCTTTGCCTTGACATCGATAGCCTCAACTGAGCTTGTAGCAGGTTTGCTCAACGCAGTCGTGGTACCAGTGGAAGCAAAGGGGAGATACACATCGACCGCAATGCTGGGTTCACCACCTGATCGTGCAGCGACGCCCGCATAGAACGGCGCGAATGGATTTTCCGGAGCGGCGTCCTGTTTCTTCAGCTTTGCAGTGAGCGCTGAGACAACCTTCACTTGGGTATGCGGGAAAGCCGCCTTTGTAGGATCGCGTCTGAGAGACATGAACCAGTCATTATCGACCACTTTCTTTGGCATCCTCCCAGGAATCGTCGGCGCCACACCCGTTGGTACTGTATCTTGTCCTTTCACATTGGCCTCGCTACCTGCAGCATCTTTTGGTGCAGGCGCCGGAGAAGGTGAGAGCGTATTCAGGGCACCAAGTCGATTCTTTCTGACGGCATGTGTATCAAATTTGGGTGGCAAGACCAACCCTAGCGCTGAATCTGAAGCTGTCACTTCACTATCCCCTTCGAAGCGTTGCCTGAACGGACAGATGTTACCAGATGAGGCCTGCGAGGCTGGCAGTAACTCTCCCTGGCCGACATCCGGAAGCGACGCGTCTTCCCCCAAGGAAGCTGGAGAGCCCAGATCCGATACACGCTCGGAAGAAAGTACGCCATCGCCCCTTGGATCGATCTCCGAGACTTGGATACGCGGAGACGGCATCGCTGTAGGCATCTTGTCTTCCGATGGGTCCCCTGTGAAAGCTGACAAGTCAACCGGGTGCAGCGCAGGGGACTCGCTGATATCAGCGTGGCCTTCGTGTGAATGCAGAGGCGAGGGGAAATATGGCTTGTCCATTTCTGTGATCGGCGTGAAAAAGCGCTTCTCAGTAATCGGCGTCTTTTCCGAGCCGAAGTCTTGTGGCGGAGTAAGAAGGCTTCTTTCGATCTTCGTTTCCAGTGATCGATTTGGTGCCAGCACGTTTGAGTCTTTTGCGCCGCTGTGAGCGCCCATCTGCCACTTCATTTCTGTAGCGTTTAGGACGGAACCTTCTTCTTCAATGAACCCCTGAGGCTCATCATTGCCCCGGCTTTTGGCACCACGGTCGACTGCTTCAAGAGAGCTAAAGCCCAGATTATTGAATGCCACGATTGGAGGCATCATGGTTGCCCCTTCGCTGGAGCTACGCGTACGCATTGCACTATCTGCCGCCAGATCTTTGCTGTTCTGTTCACTAGGGGGCATGTTTGGGATCCCCGAGAAACCGTCGCTGCTGCTCGTTATCGGCGCGAAATCCGACGAGGCTGACCCGAGAGGAACGAGGATGCTGCCAGCGCCACTGCTGCTCACCGAGACATTGCTACTACTACTGCTGCTACGCGGACGACCGGTATCTCTTGTGGTACTAGACAGTCCGAACTGGCCAGCTTCGGACGACGGCACCTGCCGCAGTTGTCCTGATGGCTCATAGACTCTACGGGCAGGGCGAGCGGGCGGTGGCCCGACTGGGCCGGACGAGCCTGAGCCCGAGCTCGAGCCTGACCGTGAGGGAGAGTTTTGCGCATTATGAGCAGGAGCCATTAGGGTCTGCGCTGATGGCGCTGTGGCGCCCGCGAGCGGCGTCGGCTTTTCTCTTTCGAGCGATCGGGCGGTCTCGTCAGATGATGGAGGGTGCTCAGCAGTGGCAGCCGTAGCAAGCTTCCGCAGCCTTTCTTGCAGCGCACCTCTCCATCCTGTTTGCTCTGGTGCAGCAGCTGCAGGATGTTCGTCTTGATTCAGGCCCGAGGCTAATGGTGTGGCTTCTCGAGGTGAAAGGGCATCCTTGCTCTCGCTCCTCTCCTGAAAGCTTGAATCCTCGGCAATCACCTCAATGGAACCGCGACCACCGTACTTGCTCCTGATCAAATTGGTGATCTTCATGCTCGCTCTTTTTCCACTGACCCGCATGCCGAGGGCCCCACTTCTTCCTGGGCCATAGATGGTCTGTGTATAGCCAAGGCTTCCTGGCTTATGCTTGGAAAGGACGCCGGACCCAGATGCTCCTCTGTTGTGTTCCCCATGCCGCGATGCAAAATCCGCCAACGGTGTTGAAATCAGAGGCGAGTGCGTCGCATCAATCTCGGGCCAAGCCTCTGGATCATTTAACTCCCCGATAACGACGTGAGAGTCTGGCGCTAGTAGGACTTGGCCCGTGGACAGTGCTGGCGACCTGCCCTCCCGCGCAGGCCCGGAGCGATCGTCACCATGTGCGGCTCCGTATTCTCCTGTGACTGTGGAATCTTGGAAGCCACCTACGGCTTTCTCTTTGCGTGCAAGATCAGGGAAGGAAATAATGCGAGGGCCGCAAGCATCATCGACCCGCCGTAGATATGCCAGCCGCAGCGAATAAAGCATGTAGCTGAGGAAGGCAAGTAACAGGGTCGATGAGAGTCACCTAGCAAAGTAGGAAAGAGATGCACCGTGTACTCACTCTGGGTCGGCAATGAGCGACATGACGCCTTCGGAGCGACTTGTCCGAGATACAAAGTGGTCTTAAGTCGCCAGCTTGCCTTTCGAACGCCCCCGTTGAGTCCCTACGGAAGACCGGTGGCTCGAGTAGAAGATTAGTACGGTGAGGCTATTCGCTTTCCGTAGTACATCCTTCTGATGTTGTACCCAGATGGCAGCGGCCGTTGCATGAGAGCAGCACTAAGGCGTGCAACTGGAGCGTGCTGCTCGCCCAAAGACGAGAGACGTCAAACCGTACGTTGAGTGCGTCCAAGTAATACTCGGGCTACGCTGAGAGGAGCAAAAATGAGTTAGGATGTCGATGTATAGTAAGTACTGCGTTGTGCATGAACCGTGCTTCGGCGCCAAACACGAGACTCTTCCTGTGCCAAATTTGACGCGCCCGTGTGAAGACGTCACTGTTAACTCGGAGCTATGCAGATGTGATAGATATCAGCTTTGATCGTCGTCTTTCCCTTGATGGCCTGCCACCATCGGATCGCCGAAGTCAGAAGGTGAACATCGCACCTCTGTACAACGCGATAGCCGCTCACAGTTGCGCCGTCAAGGTCACGATCAAGTACCGACTTGTGGACAGAGCCTGCTTCCACCCGGGAGACCGAAACCACATCAAGATGCCCCCCTTGGAGGCGAGCACCTCAGCCGTGGCGCAAGAGACGATGGCAAGGCAGAATTTTGAGCTGAACAATGACATGGTCACGCTCGATGCCTCTGATGCCATCTTCCACTACGATCCGGAGAAGCAGCGCGAGATCAACGAAAGGAAGCCTTGGAAGCAAGAGTGCGTGGCATGCACCGTGATCCCGCAGCTATGTTCTGAGTGTCCTTATTAACCTCCGGCTTGGCTCTTCTACGCTGGGTGCAGTCCGCACTTCTTTCAGAAAATTCGCATCTCCGCAGTCGCCCTGATCAAGATGGTCATGCACGCAAGGTCGGGAGGGATATATGAAATCATGGGCTTGATGCAAGGCAAGGTCGATGTGGAGACACGGACGATGTACGTGATGGATTCTTTTGCGTTGCCAGTCCAGGGGACAGAGACGCGGGTAAATGCGCAGGCAGAGGCGTACGAGTATATGGTCGAATACAACGAGGCCAGCAGACATGTGAGCGTGATGGTTCTGCATTTTCGCCGTCGATATGTTCTGGACAATTAAAGTGCTCACCTCTTGCGATGATTGACAGGTCGATCGCTTGGAGAATGCCATTGGGTGGTATCATTCGCATCCTGGTTACGGCTGCTGGCTGTCCGGAATCGACGTCAGCACGCAATCGCTCAACCAAAAGTATTCGGAGCCTTGGGTAGCTATTGTGGTGAGTAGCTCCTAGTGATCCTCTTACAAAGATAGTTTAAACTGAAATTTCTACCTTAGATTGATCCCAACCGGACAATATCAGCGGGCAAAGTCGACATTGGTGCATTTCGAACCTTTCCGGAAGATTACAAGTCACCTACCTCAGCGGAGGAGTCCGAGTACCAGAACATCCCATACAACAAAATTGAAGACTTTGGCGTACACGCCAACCAGTACTACCCCTTACAAGTGGAGATCTTCAAGTCGAGCTTGGACGACAAGCTACTCGCGCTGCTGTGGAACAAGTACTGGGTTTCTACGCTTTCTCAGAGTCCGCTTATCGTCAATCGCAGCTATACGGCTGGTCAAGTGAAGGACTTGGCGGAGAAGCTGTCGCGGACGCAGCAAAAGGTCTTGACAGGTCGCAGCAATACGGTCTCCCAAGGCGCAAGCTTGGACATCCGGATCATCGAACGCTGGGGAGGCTCAGATCTAGGTGCTGCGGGGGGATTGAGGGGGTTAGGCGGGGAAGCTGAGAAGGGTAACGCGGCCGCGACCTCTATTCCAGGCGCGCAAGCTGACGCCGCCGGCGAGCAAGCAGCAGCGTCAAAGGAAGCAGATGCCAGCCAGTTTCAAGATGGCGATCTGCATCCGAAAATTGCAGCGGCGATGCAGGAGCTTCACAAACGGGATGACGACACGGCGCTCAGCAAGGCTGCTAAGGACGCTGCCAAGCTGGCGTCCGAGGCGCAGCATGGCTTAATCCATCAGGTGCTCAAGGACATTATCTTCAATCGCGGAGGATCCAATACTGGTCTTCCCCCTTTAATGTGATCTCGTCACATGCGCGGACATCTTTTGAAGTGTATGCGCCATTCGCTTGCTCGCTCGGCACGGCACACTTGTATTCTTAGACATTTCCCCTTCAAGTTCAATACCATGACACGCATGCCCAACCACATCATGCAGTCACCTACTCTACTCTTTCCTGCGAGCTTTGAAGAAATCCTTTTGCTTTGATGCTGACTAATGTACACTTGCGTGTTGTGCCACAAGTTGGAGTGATTGGGGTAAATGCAAAGCTTGCCTTGTTCTTATGGTTCGATCTGTTGAATATGGCATATCGCCATGGGGCTGTGTGCCTGACGTGCGAGTGGCAGGTGCAGACAAGAGCCGGGCCGGCGCGGCATCGCGAAAACGAGATACATCCAGCTGTGCACGCCGTCCATGATCTTGAATCACCATTCCTCTTCCTCTTCCTCGCCCTCATGATTACCGTGGTTGATAACCTCGTCTTCCTCCTCGCCTGAGCCGTAATTGAGCTCGTCATCGGCCTTGTCGTTCGCAAGCTCGTCTCCATCGGCATGGAGGTCCATCGCACGCTGCACGGCGAGGATACCAAAGATCTCCTTCAGCGTCTTGTCATCCGGCCGCTTGGGTACGGGTCCACACGAATGGTCCCGTTCCGCTCTAGCTTTGACGAACGCGAAGAGGTCGACGGTGGGGGCGATGCCTGCGGTCGGCTCGCCGTCGTCGTGAATGCTGTTATCGCCAAAGTTGCGCCGTGCCCAGTCGAGCACGTAAGGACCGGCACGCATGAACTTCTTGCCCGAGTACTTCTTCTGGAAATGCGGGTGGCGGGTCGAGGGCCGCAGGCAGTAGTCTAGCATGATTTCCGCGGTGCTGAGCAGCTCTTCCTCGGAGAAGGACGAGTAGTGGATCAGTGTGGGAGACCACCGGCCGCGCTCGAGCACTTCGCGTGAAAGCCAAACAGCTGCTGCAGCGATGACCGATGGTGGATGACCGATGAGTCTGTAGTCGACGGCTGCGATCTCCATGCTATCATGGCGGAATAAAAGACGTGATGGGATGTCAGCCACGATGCACCGTCAAGCAGACAGCTCGTTTCGCTCGCGAGCAACTCACAAATACTTGGCGACCGTACGTGTCTGAATGTCGTAGTCGTCCGCTTTGGAGATGCGACGCAGGAAGTTCATAGGGTTCGCGTAGCTCAAGTTGAAGTCGAGTGTACGCAGAACGTATCGCTCTGCAGCAAGGATCTCTGACTCGGTATACGTCGAGTCACTCAAGTACGGGAAGTTCTCGACAGAGGGGCACATGACCTCTTCGTACTTGGCAGCGATGAAGATGGCCGTGCAACCGACCAGCTGAAGCTTGCTGAGGCCGACATGGCGCACGCTAAGCAGTCTGTCGACAATGTTGACGGCCAGAAACAAGGTCTCAGGGACGAGACGCAGTTTGGAATGCAAGCTGATGAGCCAGTCGACCAGCATGCTGCGGTGTGCCCAGGTGATCTCCTCCTGCCCATCGATGTAATCACCGTTCGGCAGGCACTTGACCTGAACGCAGGAAAGAGTCCAGCATGTGAGAAAGTCGTCAAACGCGTTATAAATATGACCGGGACGTACCTCGAGGGACTTCATGTAATCAAAGATCTCGTTGACGTACTCAGCGACCATAAGAGGATCGTCAAAGTCATCCTTGTCTAGGTCCTCCCAGCCCGCGTCTTTCGGTGGCTTCTCGACCTTTGCCTTCTTGGCAGCCACAGCATGCTTGTCGGTCGTTGCGTCGCGCAAGCTGCTTTGGCTGCCCGGGCGTTTCAGCCCCCGCTGGGCGGTTTGATCTGCTTTGGCAGTCGTCGCGGTGGCTGAGCTTGCCGTCGGCTGCGCTGCTTGCAGCGCGGATCCGGCTGGCACTTTGAGGCGCGATGGCCCTGGCGCGGCGGGCTTGACCATCGTCCTGGCCGTAGCAGGCTCAACAGCCCGTCTTGACCGAACGGCGCGCGTCGCGCCTGAGGGAGCGACGGTGCTGTTGACGGTGTTTGACGTTGCTGGTCGCCGGACGCCGGTCGCACAGTTGCGTGTGCTAGTCGCGTCACGCGTTGTAGCGGTGGTACCCGTAGCACCGATGCGCTTTGTCACGACGCTTGACGCAGCAGTCGCCTTGCCCTTGCCTTCCTGCTGGGACCCATGGGTGCTGGCAGAGCCGGAACGGGATGAGCGGTCGTTGTTGGTGATGTCGTGCAGCTCCTGGCCGACTTTGATCGCGGCGGCACCAGCAGCGTTGTTCACGCTCTTCATCGTGAGACCCGTCCTTGAGCTGCCACTGACTGCCGTCTTGGAGGTCCCGGCTTTGCCATGTGGTGCTTGCTCAATCAGGGAGGCCTTACCCTTACTGGCAGTCGCTGCTGCATTGCGCGTGAGCTTGGTGGCAGCTGCCGAGACGGTGCTGTCGGCTGGCGCCAAGCCCCGCACTCTGCTCGAGGTGCGCGTCGTTGGCCGTGAGGCCTGTATCGCGTAAAATGATGGAAAGTGCGCGTTAGAGATCGAGTCGCGTGGATGGGTAGAGCGCACGTGCTAACGCGCGATGCAGACAAGTCACATATGCGCCACGATTACGCACCATTTCGGTTGGATCAGCGAGCTAGCTACGACCGAATCAGGCTACTATGGTTATACATGAAGTAGAAACGCGAGCCAGCGCGTGTAATACGTGATGTAGAGACGGCGCGTAGGAGGCGTCCACGGGTCGGGCACGTGTCACGCGTTCCGGTCGTAGGCGGTCGTCGCGAGACGTGCGAGGGCGTTTAGCACGCGTCAAAAGGACGTGACCAGAGAGGGTGTCAGGTGGTGTACGTGCGATAGGGAAGCGCGTCGAGATGGATGCATGAACAGGGTGTATGAGGGCAGGATGAGCGGCGCCGGGATGTGATGAATGGAGTAAGGTGTTATAGAAAATGCAGATGGGTGGTATGAGTGGGTTCGCGATGATCGTGTGGTGGAGGCGTAAAAAAGAAAGCGGAGAGACGCGCGGGAAAATCGCGCGTAAAAGAAAGAAAGTCTAATCAGCACGAGCTGTTTCCTTACAAGGCAGTGAGTGTCCCCGATTGCGATCGGCAGACGAGAGCCAAAGGACACTAAGAGCTCGGCGGTAGACGCGATATGCGCGACCACGGGGGTGCCAGGTGCTCTGGTTGGGATTGGGACATCCTTCTGACTGCGCTACAAAGGCGCGCCTTACGCTGGAGGGACAGCGGTGACTCACCTTTCCTTAGCGTGCCGGTTCGGGACCAGGCTGGCGATGCGATTCCGGTTCGCACACGAATCACATGCGCGCGTGCGGTGAGCAGAGTTTGTACGACTGCAGTGAACGCGATCCTTTGCTCTCCGGTCGTCTATGAAGGGAGAAGTGGGAAACGTGAAGTCTGGAGAGGAGGAAGCTGTTCGTGAGGGTGCAGACAGAAGTGTTGATCAAGTCTACGAAGTGTGAGATCAGCAGCCAGCCAGTCTCTGCGGCGCTCTATCTGGCAGTCCTCTGTCGGCGGAACAGAACAGCCGCCTCCGCCAGCCAGCCGCGATTAACGTTCGCGTCGCGTTCAGCTTTTTTGACTGGAGCTGCACGTGACCAAGCTGGGTGTTAACTCAACATTGCCTCACTGGTACTTGCACTGCCCATGCTACTTGGAATGCTTCTCGGTTGTATGTAGAGTTTCTTTCTCAAAAAGGAGCAACGGGACTCATGCTGGCCTCAGATACACGCAGAAGACGCCCCACGCCATGCACGCCGCGTCCATTAGCCTGTAGAGGCACGACGGGTCCACAACTCTGCACCTGCAGCCTCCCATACGCGCGTGTCTCGGCTATCTCCATGTCCCTCTTCCGTCCGCCAGTCCGCTTGGCTCCTGAATGACCTGCCAGACTTTGCAAAGCGCAGGCGGCAGCTGCTGACTGGCTGGATTGCATCGTCCCAAGCGCGCACACATAGTAGTCTGGGCAGCGGTCGCTTCGTCTTTCTTTGCGGCGGAATCTGTACCATAGGACAGCTCACCGGTAATCCTCGCTGGCGATGTAACTGTGATTTCGCGGACGACCAATTTGCAACCGTGTCCGCAGTGTGGTGCTTCTGGCTCCTACCAAGTGCCTTATTCACATTGCCAACTCCTTAGAGATAGATGTTTTCATTCATGGCAAACGTCGCACGTACAATTGCGCTTGTAGGATAATAGATGTGAACAATCAAACCCCCCAAGACGTTCATGCGTTGATCACGCCGCCTCCTGGTATGTCTTGAGGTCGCGCTTGTACTGCTCCTGTGCTCCTTGAGACTTTTGCTCGTATGGCTACCGAGGGAAATGCGGTAAGAAAATGAAAGGGCGTGCAGAAGTCAGCATAGATGCGGCGCATTTCGCCATGGTCCGGAGATATCGCGTGTCCCATTGCTTTCATAGCGAGCATTCCAATAGATCGGGCGATCGAGTTGCGATGCGTCAGACTCACCTGCTTTTGCGCGGCGCTCATCGCCTTCCATTTCTCGCCGGCCTCTTTCGCGACCGAGACGACCGAGCCGGCCCCGCCCTGCTGAGCCCTGTACTCCATCATGAACTCGAAGAACGCGCTCAATGGCCTCTTGGGCTTTTGCTGATCCCTCAAGAGAGCAGTGCCCTTCTTGCCTTTGCGCCTTTGGGCCATGATCCACGCGTTTTGGCGACGGATGTCCTCGGGGCTCAACTGCTTCTTCCACTCAGCTAGCTTCTGTTCGTATTCGCTAAGGCCGGCCGCTGCTTTTTTGTTGTATGGCTGATCGCAACCGGGTGAGCGAGAACATGATCAGCCCGTGCTTCGCGAACACACGTTAATGTGTAGACGTACCTCCTTATCGCTCTCGCTCAGACTTCGCCATTCGCTACCAACTTGGGTAGCAAGCTTGCCGATGTCCACCACCTTCTTGCTCGGGTCCTTGACGCTGGGCGCGAGGAATTGGTCTTTGAGTTCTGGCAGACGCTTACCCATGTAGTACAGGAAAGCACTCTTCTTCGTGGGCTTGTTTGCAAATGGCAGGGGAACTATGAGATATGGATGTGCGTGAATGTCAGGGCAAAGTCATACGAGTCGGCGCACAGTCTAGCGCAGGCTTGAGCGCTGCGAAAGAGGATAGGTACTCACGCTTCTTGCCATCCGGTCCAAGAGCCTCCCATGGCTTGAGCTTGGGCTGGGGCGCCTTCTTCGCCTTGGGCTTGCCCTGTTCCTTAGTCTTTCCCTGCTCCTTGGGCTTTCCCTGCTCCTTGGGCTTGCCCTGCTCCTTGGGCTTAGCCGTCGACTTGGGCGCGCTCTTCGTTTTGGTGCCGGCTGTGCTCTTTATCAGCTTTGATGCAGGGGCAGTGGTGACATGTCGTTGCCCGCCAAGGGACAGGAGAGCCAGCTGAGATGGAAGAGCTGCTGCAATGCGGTGGATGCTGACGCTGGAGACTGTCAAGGGGGAAGCGGATGAGATGTTTGCAGTCAGCAGCGTAGCTGGCCGCAACGGCAGCGTCGTACTGGCGCCCCGCAAGGCGGTTGCTCCGCGAAGCAGCTTGGTCGACGTGGGCACTTTGAGCATGATGCCGCGTCACCTCTTCGACAATTGTATAACGAGGCAGCGCTGGGCGCGAAGAATATGCGAGATGTCGTAAATGCACTATGGATAAACGCAAACAAGATGATGGTTTGGAGATGCTGAGATGTAGATGCGTGAGATGTTGGCGGATGCGATGATGATGCCACCTTTCTGATTGTGGTCAACTGAGAGCAGCGGGGACACTGCCCCAGTCGCCAATGCAACAAGCATGGGGTGCAGAAGCGGGACGCGCGCGTCCTGGTGTCTGTGAGCACCGAGCACAAGGTTGTGTGCACACGCAACCCTCGGCCAGATAGGTGTCCTTTTGGTTCTCTTGAGTTCTGAGCGCTTTCGCATTTCGCTCGTCCCCAGACCCACGTTCCCAGGTGCAGAGAGATCATTCAAATCCTCCTCTGCTCTATACCAAGTCGCTCGGCGCAGGAAGCGACATCTAAGCGCGCTTTGTAAATATCTATTAGGAGCCGCAAACAGCTGTCGAACCGAACACGATATCCATCAAACGAGGTGTCATCTTTCCTCTCGTTTCCAGTTACGCGGGCCAAGTTTCATGCGAATGCGAAGTACAATCAAGGCAGTACCTGCTGGAGAAACTCCATACTATACAGTAGATGCAGCGGACGGTTGCGGGATGCCTTTCACAACGAAGTGTCACTGAATTCAGGTACATCTGCGGCCAAGAGGCAGTCTGCCCCAGCTCCTTGGTCACCCGGTCGACCTTGAAGCGCGGAAGGACGGCGGTGCAGATGGCCATGATCTCGTACCTGGCCAAGTTCACGGCAAGGTACAGCCGGGGTCCACCATTGAACGCGTGGAATCTCTACTGGTTCAACTGCACGAATTGATGTGCACCGTTGGTCGGATCGGTCTGCAGGAAACGAGATGGGTTATACTCGCATGCATCAGTTCCCCAAATATTAGTATTGCGAGTCACGATCTGCAAGAAAAAAAGGAAGAGGTGTGCTCAGTGCTGCGAATACTACTGAGTAGAAGAGTGAGATTGGCCACATGCACACAATTACTTCAAGCAATCCGCTCGCCGGCCTTGATCTCATCGGCGGCAGATTCCGCGCGTTCAGTGAGGTAGTTCCAGCATGCAACCATGCATTCGTCACCTAAAAACTTTCGGCACGGCAGCGTGCAGCTGGATAGCCTCGACGATGCATGTGAGCGTCTACAGAAGGTCCATAATGTGATCGAACTCGAGAAGAGCCGTTTCGCTTCCGTTATTGTCGAGGGAGGCGACGTCCTTGATGATTCCTTTGATATGCCAAGGAAGCCGGAGAAGCTCGTAGAAAAGCAGGCTGAGCGACTGTGCCGTGGTTTCGCGGCCTTCGATCTGGGAGTAAAGTCAGCGGCTGGAACACTTCGTCGACCTATCCGCACAGCAGCCTTACCTGCAATCAAAAAGGTCAGAACGAGGTTGAGGGTCCTTTGCCAGATCCATGAACAGCTCCAGGTCCCTTCCGTCCTTTTGCGACTTTGCGCTGGCTGATGCGTGGGGCCATTTGCGGCATCAACACTCATGCGCCCTTGCAAGCGTTCCTTCAATGATGTCCTCACCCGTCTTGTGAATGTGCCCGATCGCTGTCTTTATGTCCTTTCCTTGTGAAGCAAGAAACTAGTTCAGCTTGAAGAGCGGCAGCGCGAAGGGCTCATTGAGAACCCCATGTGCAAGATGGAAGGCGTTGGCGAATGGAACGGATTCATCGAAGCAGGAAATCGAGGATCTGAGGCACTTAAAGTCCCGAGAGAAGGAGATTTTGCTAAGGCAGAGTGTGTGAAGCGGAAGAATAGCTCTGGCAGCACGGGTTGGTTCCTCTCGCTGGCATATCCGCGAGCAGCAGCCTCGCTCATGATGCTGATTTCCTTCCTGGTCTCTTCATGAACGGCTGTCTGGACCCTGGTTCGAAGTTGTGACGCGCTGAAGATCTGAGAGTCACGCTTGTGCTGCGTCTGCCAGATGTCACCATCTGCGATGAAGATGACATGTGCGCCAAGCACACTTTCGAATCGGGATCTCTGAAGCCGACCTTTAATGAAATACTCAAAGCGCGTGTTCTGAGTCGTCTCTATGTACTGTAGGCGGACCGTGATGATCTGACAGCCTATTAGCAGGTCAAACCGTGGGTGTTGAGCAATCGTAGTTTGTATTACACAGAGTACGTTACTCACTGAAACCAGTCGCGTCTGTTGGGCGCTTCCAATCAGTGAGGCATCCGTGGCGGATTTGATGTGTTCCAATTGGGGCTGCGAACGGCCGAAGCTTAAGTATGGTCAGTGGAACACTTGTAGAAGAAAGGACTTGTGTTTGGATCTTCACCTTCGTACCATTCTTGATTGCACGATAGGAGTGTCGGATGAGAGGCAAAGCGGACCGAACGGATGGAGCAAGGCTTGTTGCATAGAGCTCTCCGAGTGGCTAAGCCCTCAATCTTCGTGGTGCACTCACTGCCTTCAACAACGCACACATTTGTCCGGTGAAGTGCAGTGCTAATCAAACTGTCTAGACAAAGAATGGCGAGTCGCACGAGCAGGAGAAGGCAAGCGCGCAGCGTGTAACCCATCCTCTCCAAGTTGGGCGCCAAAATATGCTGGGACGAAAAACTGCGAGTGGGCTGCAGACTTTGCGACTGTGGCAATGCTTAAGGAAGTATGAGGTTGGGGGCAGCTTGGTAGATGACTGAGGATATATATCAAGTAGAAATGACTCTTTCAACGGCACGATGTTGCTGCTTGGGGTACGATTGAAGGGCACAAGCTCAAATCTGAGAAGCAAAAGTATCAAATAACATAAATGCGTTTATTCACCTTGTTTCATTGGCGAACGAAACACCAAGAATGAGTTCAGGCCCGCAGGACAGGAATGAATCGAGGATGTTTTTCTGTGGTCTGCATGGCCTATGTCTTCAATATCGAACGCCGAATTTAAGACTTGCAATCCTGCCCAAAGCATCCTGTTTTCGGCGTTCTCGTCAGTGCCAGCCCCCGTCAGCGCTGCACCAAGCATGGAGCAGCTGGTGGTGAGGAGCAAAACGAAGATACACCACCTTTGCATGGGAGAACCTTTGCATCTTTACACCTGTCAGCAGAAGGCTGCGGGCAAGAGTCGCACTTTGTTCTCTGTTAGGCGCAACGCTCTAGCAAGTGGGCTGTGCACATTTGCACTTTGCGTTGACACTTGTCTTGATATCCGTAATTCGACTGAGGTTGCACAGTAGCCTGCCGGAGTTAATGCGCTGATGAAATCTTTGGTGAACACGGGTGTCCTCTTGCGACGATATAAAATATATGGGAATTGTCCAAATATTGTTGGCCAGTTTTCAAAATACAAGTACCGAAATGTTGAAACTGAGCTAAGGGTTGGCAAAATGTTCATTTTGCCAGTTCTAACCAAGCGTTATGACCGATACTGTCGGCGACCAGCCGCCAGCGACTGGTCACCAAACGTGGAAGTCGAAGCCTAGTACATCATCATGAGATTACCCCCAGACAGCCCCATGTAAATCCCAACTCACATCATCGTTCCATCAACAGGTCCAGCGTCGCGTAGACGTGTGACGAGTGCAGCACCGATCACTAAGCGCTGAGTGCTGGCATGAAATCAAGAATGAGCATGAAACACTCGGCTTGTGCCGGCCGGCAGCTCCCGATATCGAACGCTTGGATCATCCACATATATACTTGTACTAATTCAGTCCAGCGAAGATGCATGGTCGATTTGACGTCACGAGGTACGCCGCCATCGCCGATATATCCTCTTCTATGTCGTCGATACGCACGAGGTGTGATGGTTACATACGGTGGTAAGCGATATAGACGTCCAACAATTGCCACAGTGACTCATATTTTTAGCGTTCCAACCTCTAGCATCCGGGAGTACCCGCTGTACCTACAACCGGATCTGCACAAGCGAGGCTATATATTTAATTGGACCGGCCACAGAAGCGACACCGGCCCGAGCCTTTGAATCTTTGAGTTTGGATGAACCTTTTGAAATATCGGTGTTGGCATAAGCTGTTTCTGGTTCTCACTTCTTTGCCGTCGAGCTCAACTGCTTCGACCCGTACCCGCCAAAGACCGTCTGAAAGCAGCAATGTCGTCATCATTATACACCACAGAAGCCGCGCTTGCGGACCCAGTGCCCACCGTGGCCTCCATCCTACCTTTCAAAGTGTCGTTCCCCGACTCTGAGCTCCAGGATTTGGTCAGTCGCCTGAAGAATCCCCGCTACGCGCAAGAGCAACTGCTACCTCAGGACCCTCGCAGCGCCCAGCTGACTCCGACGCCAGCATGGATCCAGAACGTAGTCGAGAATTTCTGGCTCAATGAAAACGAATTCACGCTCAAAGGCATGATCGATGAGATGAACAAGTATCCCCATTTCGTCGCCGAAGTCGACTGGTGCAAGCAGCTGCACTTTGTATATGTTCGCAGCTCAAGGAAAGATGCTATCCCGCTCTTGCTGCTGCACGGGTGGCCTGGCGCGTTCCATGAATTTTACCCTTCAGTTGATGGGCTTGTCGAGCCAGGTGAGCTTAATAGAATATCGTGTCCTTGGACGTTGTTGTGAGCCGCATGAATGAAGCGCTAATTCCTCATGAACTTGCAGAGAATCCCGATGACCCCGCATTCCACGTTGTCATTCCCTCCCTGCCGGGGTTTCTCTTCAGCTCACCACCTCCAACAGGAGCAAGGATGATTGGTGACGTACACGGATACGCTCGCATCATCAATGCTCTGATGATCGCGCTTGGCTATGGTGGCTCAGCTTCCTCGGCCGAGTCCATCGCTAAGTCTGGGTCACCATGGAAAGGCTATGGTGTTCAAGGAGGCGATTGGGGTTCGGCTGTTTCTCGCGCTATTGCAAACGTCAACGGGTCGAGAGCACGGGCAGTGCACTTGAATTTTTGCCCTGCCCGGCCAAGCGGACTCATTGGCGGGACAGCGTACAACGCCTATCTCTCCATCCCAATGGGCATGAAAAAGTGGCTAGCGAATTTCCTAGGAGAGGAGGCTCGCAAGTCGATCGCGAAGGTATGCTCCAAGACCGCCGCGCCTCTTTCATGCCGAAAGTGATGAACTAATAATGGCTTTCGTTCTGATTCGCAGACGGAATCTTTTCAAGCTTCCATGGCGTACTACCACGTTCAGCATTGGCGACCTGCGCAGCTTCTCACTGCACTCACAGACTCTCCTCTTGGTATGCTAGGCTGGATCGGAGCCTTCCTTCAAGACCCACTTCCGCCGCTCACACCTGGAGAGAGCAAAACGCTAACAGTCAAAGCTCTTCTGACGAACGTATCCATGTTCTGGCTCACGCGCTCGATCGGCACTTCCTTCCTGCTGTACACGGTCAACGCCTTCCTGCCCGACATCGTCATGGACCCGCAACAATTCATTCGTGTGCCCTTTGGGTTCACAGAGTTCCCACGCGAGCTTGCCAGCACACCAGCATTGTGGGTTGCAGGGACCGGCAACCTCGTCTGGGCAGCAAAAGCGAGCAAAGGTGGGCACTTTGCGGCGCTCGAGGTGCCAGAGGTGTATGTCGAGCACATGCGCAATGCCTTTGCGAAGCAGGGCCACGCGAGGAGAACCAAGGGCGAAGGAGAAGGAGGCATTGTGAAGATGGATGTTGCCAAAGCCGGCCTATGGGATCGCGAGTACAGAGATATTGGCGAGAAGCTGAGCTGACGCCTTAGCGGCTCTGCAGTGGCATAACATGGCTATAGCAACAGTAATGGAAGAATAAGAAATATAATTAGAGTACATTGATGTAGAGATAAAGGCCAGAGTGATGGAATACGTCGAGAAGGCTAGACCATTTGGCAGGCGCGCCTCCAGCGATGAGTTGTAGACCATTGTTTCGCACATAGCTTGGTCCTGCACGCAACTTTGGTCCGTATTTGTAGGGGTTGAAAGATGCGGGGGTGCCGACAATAGCTGACACCAATCCCACAGCGAGTTGCCCATGTGAGATTGAAGCTTTTGTGCATGTCTTACATTAAGAGCTGAAATTCGAAGACAAGGAAGGAGAGGTAAAAGGCTGTCTAGGCGATGCAGGAGCTGGCGATGAGTGGGTAACACTCCGCAATGTGCCGAGGAAATGACGAAGTATCTCACCATTAGGAGAGTTTGAGGAGGCTGCGACCAGCCGAGATGGAGACTCACGCCCTGGATGCTCAAGAAAAGGCCAATGCCTCCGAATCCGCCGATGACGACACAGGGGTTCTGGACAACCAAGTGCAGGGGGTATTTTGCGCTCCAGCCGTACAAAAGGATGGCGGCCGGAGAGATGGATGATGAAACCATCATGATGTACAGGATGTACCCCTGGTTCTTTTTGCTATCGTTTGCCGCCTTTTGATGCTTGCACATGCGACTGTAAGGGTTTCCTGCGACATTCCCACCAAGACCAGACCAATGGCGAGATTAATATAGTTGAGCGATGGCATGCTAATGCATTCTTGGTGGTGGGTAATGAAGATCATCGCACATGCGGTCAAGTCAAGGCATATCGAACAGTAAATTACGGCCACTTAAAAATCGGCAGGTTGGCGTGTCAGCCATGAACAGTATGTCGCAGTAGACACCTTGACATCACCACTCCAAAGTGCTAGGAGTTGAATGATGGGCACTGTAGGCAGAGGAATGATAGGCTGGGAGAGGTTGCGCCTTAGCTCCGGGAAATGAGTTCCATTGGCCTCGGTCTCGAACACACGTCGTATGGTGTCGCTACCAGGATCTTTCTTCAGACGTCGACACTTCTTCTTCAAGGTGACCGTCTGGTACGTCACCTGCATGAGAATGAAGCCAAACAGGGCAATCATGGCTCCAAAGTTAGCCACAACCACTGAGATAGAAGTGACGCATTGCTTCAATCCGTCATTCAATGCAGGTCTACGAGGATACATCTCACAAAGCATCCATCTCCAGCTGCAGCCTGCTTCGACCAAGCCTGCAGAGTGATCAGCACCGAGACCTGGGACGATACAGCCACCGATGATGAGTCTTTTGGCAATCAAAATAAAGGTCAACGGTACATTGTACGATTAAGATGGTCTCAGTGCTTACCCAATGCACGGCGCCAGGAGTGGGGGCAAGTGAGTAAATCGCAGCAATGCCACCTCTATCATAAATAGGATAGTGGCCTGCTAGCACACCATCTCCAATGGCGAAAAGCGTTGCGCCTCCAAGCTCGGCGCAAAATCTGAATGAGGGGAATTGCTCCATATTCATCGAAAGTCCGCCGACGAGTGAAAGATGAGGAAGACCACGTTGGAAACCTGCCAAATTAACAGCCGACCGAACATTTCGGAAGCGGCCCCAAGATGAGGAGGCCTCTTTTGTTTATTCCACCGGGAAAGGTTCAGCATCTAGTAGGGCCAGGAAAGGGAGTGCCAAATTTACACTGACGCCATAGCCAAGCAAGAATATGCTCAGCATCACTGCTTGAGAATTATCGGATGAGGCTATCGGCCAATCATGAAAGCACTGTCACGCACCCTTCTGCGTCACTTATACTTGTGACTGCCGTTTCGAATTTCAACCATAAGTGGACACAAAGCACGACGCCTGACGAGACATGATACATGCGCGTTGGAAGTATCATGAAGGACAACCACCCACATCCCAACAAGTTGTCTTTGGACATGAACTATGCATTGCTGTACATGGCGCATGTCATCCCAACAAGTTGTCTTTGGACATGAACTATGCATTGCTGTACATGGCGCATGTCAAATATCAAACTTCAAAGCTTCAGTGCTTCCTGAGCAACCTTCTGATCATATATTAGACTCAGATTTAATTATCCAGCCCTTCAAAGTTCATCGCTCATTGTTCATCAGTGACAGTGCATCAGCCCTCAAGCTTTAAGGCTCACCAGGTTGAGCGCTCAGCAGCTCGCGACTGGGAATGCATTCACCAGTATGTACATGCATAGAAATCATCACTAGGGTTGACTTTGCCATAATAGAGAAGCATCCATTGCATTCAATGATGGTGCGACATATGATTTCGATGCAGCCATGTGAACGATGCAGCAATGAAGGGATGAAGTGATGAAGGCGCTGGAAGCGAGGTTGCGGGATGGTGCTCTCGCTTGTACGTATGTACGTAGGGCTGACCTTTGACTATTTGCACAGGTAAAAAGCAAGATATTGCGCCCACAATGGGTGAGTCCGACCACCCAAACTGCTTTCCGGAGTCTGGAAAATGATCTTCAGGACAACGTCGGTGGGTGATCATCCTCTTCAGCCCTGGCTCTACGGTACCAGGATTTTTTCCACATGCAGGAAAATTTTGAATATTAGGTAAACATAGAATCATCACCAACTGTCCTTTTCCCGTTACTCGTAGGCCTTTTTTCATTGACTATTTTTCAGAAGTTAAGGAAAATACTGACTCATGTCGTACTGATTATGATCAGTGTGTAGTAATGGGCAACCTATGGCAGCAGATCGCAGAATCTGGTGGCAGGGGGGTCAAGCCGCAACCAAGGGCGCCGCTCTTCAAGCGCCAGGCAATGGGCATTCCCAGTGCCATCAAGTACATACAAGTTCTCCATGGGTCACGTGTACTTACTGCATGCAATACCATTTCTTGCCAGTAACGCATTGCTCCCGGCTGGGGTCCACAAGAGCAGTTTGAATTAGGCCAACAGACCCTAACCGACGCAACTTGTTTCCTGTCCCTTGCTCAGTGGCGAGAAGCGAGACAATGGCGATGCATCAATACATGAAAGCCGAAAGGGCATGGACGCATGAACACATGTGCATATGTGCCAGGTGGCTGTAAGTCACCGCGACTCACGAGCTTGATTGCGCATCAGCAGGGACCCGGGCTCTTGGGACCCGAGAAAGCCATTCTGTGAACTTTCTGCTCGGAATATTACTTTTAAAATATCCTCGCAAAACGCCCCAAACATCGTAGCTATGTATGGATATCATATCTTCGCGTGCTATAGTATTTACACCTGCATTTACCATTGTATACCACGCTGTGGTCGGACCAGGTACATACCTCCGCATGAAAGAAGCTAATTTGAAACATGGTTTTGGCCAATATAACTACTAAACAGCTCGAGATGCAAACCCATAATTTTCCAAACTGTCAAATTGGCAAGCACCCCCTGCTTTTGGACCTTGAAGTAGCAGAAAGGCGTCAGTTGCGAGACGAACAAATATATTCAATACTCTTTTGATTCATGATTTTCGTCTTTCAACGAAATACCAGACCACGAACAGGTTTGGAACCCAACACCACTTCCAGGTGGCTGTTCGCATCTCCTCTTGAGCTCATCCCAGTGGTCAATTGCCTTTCGTTGAACGAAATGGGGGCCTAGCTGGATGTCCTGTTCGTTCTGGCCTCATTAGGGCGTCCACTAATCCGGTCGTCAATGATCATGTTTTGGAAGAATGAAGAACACCACAACTCTCGTCAATTTCAGCCGTGGTGTACTTGTCGAGACTGAAGCGTTGGTGGAGGCGCTACTGCGCGATGAGATCGCAGGTGCCAAACTGGATGTGATGGAGGGTAAGGCAAATGTGTGTCTCCAGATGAGGAAGCCTTGCCCTGACTTTCTTTTAACCTAAATGATGATCTCGTGTCTCTAATTTTGCACTGCACACAGATATTCCGGCATCACATCTCTTTTCTGATGCGAAAGTAGAAGACAAAGCCGTGGTTCTCCCCTACATTGGCAGCGCTCGTATGGGGCCAGGAAGGCGGTGGAAAGCTTAATGGACGAAATGTCCTGGCCACCGTCGGCATGTGGAAAGACGATCGAGGCAGCATGAGAGCGGAGCTGAAAGTGTCGTAAGGACCAAGCGATTTTCTCAACGAGCCTGTATCGTTTGAAGGCGAGTGCATGCATCGACTGATGCATGCGCCCACCGAGGAGAATCCACTCAGCCACGAATTGATTGGTGGAACAAGAGCACCAGTGCCTGAAAGAGGCCAGATGTAGCGTATCGCCGGCTGTTCATGGGAGCAGATCCTTGTTAAAGTCAACGTGTTTTACCGCAAGTCTGTCTGCCTCATCGCATCTTATATCGTCCCTGCACGTGCATTTCCACGTGACGAAGTATCCATTTATGTAGCCGGGCAGCCTGCTGTCAGCAAGACATACAAGCACCCCAATGGGCCCATGTGTCACGCAAGGCCACGCCAGACCCAGCGCAACTCACACACAGGACTGTACAAATGATCCCTGCAATCTGACACGGAATACGCCCGCAAACCAAATTGAATGGTGGAGGACACGTGATGAGGGACTGTGGGGGCTGTGCAGTGGTGGTGGGCCGAGGGGGGGCAATTTGGGGGGTGAATTTGGTTTATTCGTCTCATTGGCTGGTTGGCTCTGCCAATAGGGCAAGTAGCTTGTTGGTAGAAGGGCATTCTGTAAAATATGCGCACATCTAGAATGGGCAATTTGTCTTTTGGGAGGCGTTCTGTAGGAGTTCGCGCGCTGCGCGACAGACTGCTGCAACGCGCTTTATTGACTGACACCTACAACGTCAGGGCCTAAGAAAGTGGGTCCTTTATTGCTCTTTGGCCCCCTTGGGACATGAATAGGCACATCTGTGTTTTTGATGTTTCTAAAGTCCAGTAACTCCCTCATTGGAGCTGTTACTCGTGGGCTGGGAGTTATGGGGAAGATGAGCGGCGCCTCAGCAGTTTCTTATGAAGTGCTTCCTTATGAGGCAACAGACTCGTTCTTCGGCTCCTTCGCTTCGTGCGAGACGTACTCATAGATACTAATACGCATGCATGCGCGCTTCGCTTGTGTTTTCGACGCAGGCTTTTGCTGAAGGCGACCAGCAGATAGTCAAGAAAAACATCTGTGCCATTTTTTCTGAATGCTGCCTATCCTCTCTGCTGCCTGCATTCCTTTAAGACGCTCAACTTACTACCATCGCAAATCGTATCACCTGTTTGGCAAGCACACAAATGCCGATGTTGGTGCTTGATTACCAAGGTGCAACCTGCTGACTTGCTGAGACGCTTCGCCATCTCATCTTCAATGACAAGTTCATTCCCTCAAGTCATTAACGAAATCGGCCAATCGCACATCATGTGACTGGAGTTCTGTCTGTACAACTGTCCGGTGCTGCCACAATGGCATTCCCAAGCGTGGTGTCATGGTCCTGCATTAAAGCGGACCTCGCCAAAGATGAGTCGACAACGACGCGCTTTTGTATTCTTCATTTCAATCGAGCCCTTGGAGCTCTACGCCTATGGATTCCTTCAACCTAGGTACTTTTTGTCACTCACGTACTCTCCCCTAAGCACCACACATCCAACAACTTCGCAGAACTGGATACTCCAAACTCCGTGACTTACCCACCTGGCATAATGAGTTGCATCCCGTTTGCAAACGGCGAGGATCCAGTGCCGTACCGGAGCGCCTGGCTCGAAGACCCAGTGCAGCCAACGTCTTGGCGCCGAGGTCTGGACGTCTGGGAGCTGTACGAATATTTCATGTCCGCGCGCTACCATCAAGAGGGCAAGAGATTCCCATCTTGTCGAGAGCATTTGTCCTTAGCCGCTGGGTACGACAAATCTATATTCGCACCCTGCTTCTCCAGTAGACTCGGCGATGCGCTATTCAAGTTTCAAAAACCTGTCCTCAAAGAAACCCTCCACGAGCGCGTACAAAACGCCTATGCCACATGCTACGTGCCTGTTCCACAAATCTCCACAACAATCCGAAGTGCCGAGGAGGGCTGCAGCGCAGTGTATAATCAAAGCGCCAGCTTGGATCGGAACGAAGAATTCGTAGATGCGACATTCGAGACGTACGTCGTTGCCATCTCAACGAATGCTGCACACGATGTGTTCGAGAGGGAGGTCGACCTATTGGGCGGCCAGCTCACCCGCGAGCCAACGCGCTGCGACTCACAACGAAGCACCTCCGTGCCTTGGCACTGGAGTTAGAGGGATCTTACGGTTTGATCACGCACTTTTTGGCTGGTCCTTCGAATTGACATGGACCTACGGTGGCCGAGGATGCTTCATTCTCGACCGCCTGATCGCCTTCCCGATGATTTCAGCGGTGCCTTTTCCATAGCTGACCACCGAGCCAGCACGTGAAGTTCCCGTCTCGCAGCGCCTCGACCCGTCGGTGCTCGTTGGAAACAAGATGAACACTATCCAGAAGTATCTGATGAAGTTCCACAAACTCAATGTGAACACCTGCAAACCCGGACGAAGCTGACTGTGATTGATCCTCAACTCATATACATTGCAGTAATCCGCACCGCTGTGGGTCGGCAACCCGCTTCCACACAAGCCATGCAGCGCGGCGCATTGCCGTTTCGCCTTCTCATTGGATGGGATCGAGTTGCTGTTGTCAGCCGTACAGGTGCTACGCAGTCGTGGTCACAATGGCTTGACGGTATCGCAGCTGCCGTCCGCCACACACTCTCTCACATTCCTCAAACGATGGTCCAAGGCAGGAGATGCCGAGCTGGCATTCGGCGCGGCTGCTGATTTCAGGAGCAGGCGAACTCGGTATGGCACGAGGTACATCTTGGGTATGTTCTACTTGGGCCCGTGCTTGTCATGCCCATGTAAGGCCTGGAGGGTATACTCGAAAGCGACATTAGCACGCCAGAGAGCCCAGATGCGCTCAAGCACATGTCTACGACGATTAGCAAACAGACGGCAGAGTATCACAAACAGGCCCAACTGGAATACGCGACGTTCAATGCGTTGTTTGACATATTTCATAGAACAGGCCAGTGTGAGTTGCGAGAAATCGACAGGAGGACGGGCCCAAACCAATCACGTCTATAATACCATGCTCTCTTGCCACCTCGTAGTGACTCTCTCCGCTTCCCTCCCTGTGTCATCGCATACTGACAAGCAGGCAGTATCATCGACCAGCTTTTGAAGCGACGCTACCGCGGTGTTGGCGGCGACATGGGCCTCATGGATGTGCACATTGGGGCGTCGTCTACAACCCACGCCTCACAGCGCGTAGTTCCAGCCTCCGTGAATAGCTCAGACTCATCTACAACTAAAATCCCGACCTCTGGTCCGTCGATGAACTGCAGAAGGTGGTGTGCAAGTGGGTTGACGCGATCAGACGTGCCGTATTTAGCGCTGTCGACTTGACGAGAGCATCCATGCTGAGCGCTTCGCGAGCGCGAGCAGCAAAAATTTGATTCTTGATTCGACACTCACACCACAGCAACATATGTTACGCATCACAGATCAATCAAGCACATAGAATCACTTCCTTCCCGACTTCGCTTCGAATCACTATTCGACGTATATTTCCACGTCTCATGGTGCAACGCGCTACAGCACGCACTCACTTTCCACTCCGATTCTGCTTTTGTGTTATTGCGCCTCCCGGCTTTGATCTGCTCCATATCCAGGTTCTATCTGCTGACAGCTACTGGGTTTCCCTTCTCGCATCCTGCTACACGGTGATAAGCTACATAGAGACACAAGGAGTCTCGTTCGGCTTTAGCGCCACTTCAAGAGTTGCACCGAATGGTGTCTCCTCCTCTCTCTCCCTTGACCGTGTGATCAATCGAAACCTAAAATCTCATTGCATGCCATGTAACATTCACCTGTTTGTCTGTTGTATAGCTAAGCTTCTGTTGCAAGGTGGAAGAGAGTAGGGCATGAATCTGAGTCCTGACCAGCAGGTTGCTCCAAGGATCTTCATCCGACGTGTCTTATCAGAGAAACACCCACTGAAAGTGGCCGTTTGGTCGGACCTCGGAACTCCGTCGGGAACGTGTTAAACATGGACGAAGCAGCGCTGCGCGCGATGATGCCAATGGGCTTTGGCAAACAGGCCCTCAAAAAGCAGCCACATGCGCAGCAAGGACCAGTGGCTCCCGCCAAATCGGTTTTTGGGGGCGAATATGAGGCTGGACCCTCGTCTTCCAAGCTTGGCTTCGGGACCACCGCAGGCGCGCCATCGAGGGGCCCGGTCAAGGGTCCTTCCCTCTGTCCAATGAAGCGGCCTACATCGCAAGGCATCGAGGAGGAAGAGGAAGAAGAGGAAGAGGACGGTCTGGGTGATGGGCTGACTCCCGAAGAGAGGGCAGCGAACAAGGCAGCACAGGAAGCTCACCAGGAGGACGAAGATGACAGCGAATCAAGTGCAGATCTGGGGCCAGAGCCGGAAGAAGGCGTGCAATCCGAGTTGCCCATCAGTCATGAAGCTGTATTGAAGGATCACAACAAAGTGAGCTCATGGATTTTTCAGAGACAATGCTTTATTATGGAACAGAAAGCTGAACTTTCCATTATCCGGTGCGGCTCCCAGGTGGTTTCGGCTCTAGACATCGACGCTGCTGGCGCCCGAATAGCAACAGGAGGATACGACTACGATGTGAAGCTTTGGGATTTTGGGGGCATGACATCCGCATTACGGCCTTTCAAGACCTTCGAACCAAATGGATCCTACTCTGTCCATGACCTGAAATGGTCACCCTCAGGCAATGAGCTCCTCGTGGTCTCCGGGACATCCCAGCCCAAAGTCTACACCCGCGATGGACAGGATGGTTACGTCTACAAAAAGGGAGACGTTTACATTCGCGATATGAAGCAAACGAGTGGGCACGTTGCTGAGCTGAGCTGCGGTGACTGGCATCCGCATACGGCAAACACCTTCCTGACAGCCAGCGCGGACTCGTCCATTCGCCTCTGGGATGTCGAAGATCGCGCAAAGCAAAAGACGGTAATTGTCGTCAAATCAAAGGAGCGTGGCACGCGCACGCGCATCACGAAAGCAAAATTCTCGCATGATGGAAGGTACATTGCCGCCACGTGCCTCGACGGGGCGCTGCACTTTTGGGCGACCAACTCGAACTTCTCGCGACCCAGTGCAAGTTTGGAGGGTGCGCATACGAGAAACACCGAGACGACAGGGCTGGCTTGGAGCGCGGATGGACATAGTGTCGTCACGAGGGGTGGAAGCGGTGACGAAACTGTCAAATTGTGGGACATGCGCAGTCTCAAGAGGGCGGTAGCGATTGCGGAAGACCTGCCGAACAACCATGCCGAGACGGACGTCATCTTCTCGCTTGACGAGCGCACCATTTTGACTGGAACGTCAGCACAAGGCAATATGGAAGCATCTAGCGTCACTTCGACAGCCAGCTCAGGGAGCGTTAACGTGCTTTCTCGCTTAGATCTATCATTACAGCGTCAGATCTCCATCTCTACCACCGACTCTCCGCCTGGAGCGGGCACGTCGATCGTTCGGCTTCAATGGCAGCCAAAGATCAATCAGCTGTTCTGCTCGACTTCCACGGGAGCGATACATGTCTTCTATTCTCCGGAGAAGTCGGCGCGCGGCGCGTTGCTGGCCGTGGGAAAGGCCCCGAGAAGGCGGAGGGATGTTGAGGACTACTTCATCAGCGCGCCTGCGGATGGCGGCGACCAGATGCTCCAAATCACTGTCTCTGGCGACGGCGGAACCATGGTCGGGCGCTCAGCGGCCAGCAAGCGTCGCAAGCTGGAGAAGTCTCGCGCCGATCCACAGGCGACGCGCATGCCCGAGCGGCCCTTGCAGGGCCCAGGGCGTGGAGGGAGAATTGGCGCTGCGGCGACACAACATGTCGTGCAGAACATCTATCGCGATATCACGCGCGACGAGGATCCCAGGGAGGCGCTGCTCAGGTTCGCGGAGAAGGAGAAGAAGGATGGACCGAAGTACACTTCCGCATGGAGCAAGACGCAGCCTAAGCCTGTCTTTCGCGAAGTGGACGAGGAGGAGGAGAAGCGGCGATGAGGGAAGGACCAATGGCCTGCTTCACATCATTCCTGTATTCCACTTGTAAATTCCAAGTTGGCTTCTGTCGGCTGCACATGTAACGATGCAGACACAGGCTCTGGCACCTGTGCTCATATGCACGGTGTGCCATCCAGCTTTGTCGTCTCAAACCAGATCGGGCGACGACTGATCTCTTTATTGTGTTTGTGATGTTGTAACTTGCCCGGACTGACCGGCTGAAGGTGGGTGCCGGTCTGCCGGTGAGCTAATGCGAGAGGAGGGGGCGGCAGTCACGTGTGCCGGTGACCAGCTTTCGCATAGATGTGGGCAGGCTCAAGAGTGAGGACCATTCGCGCCCCAATCGCGACTCTTGCCTCGCCAAGTCCCTTTCCTTTCTTTCCTTCGCTTGGTAGCCTGCATGCTGTAGGAGTACAAGGTTGTTCTTGCTTGACGCTTCGTACATTGAGCCAAGAATGAAAGTACATCGAAAACCATAACCCCTGAGTCGCCCTCGGATGACCACTTTGCTCCGTACGTTCGGTCAACACTCATCATTTTTGCGCCTCCGACCGCGATTTGCCGCACATAGCTTCGCCAGCTCGTCCGCTCGCGCATATCCTGGCCTCCACCTTTGGCCCCCAACGGTGCCGCCTCCTTGGCATTCGAGTTCAGAGGAAAAAGTTACGACAACGCCCTACGCCAGCGTCAATATGTCCACCTCAGAGCCCAAGCAAGAGGTCAATTTTGACCTTAGCGTCGGGTTCACCTCGCCGGACCAGCCCGTCTCCTGGAATCGACGTGACCTCCTCCTCTATGCCGCCGGTATCGGAGCGGGTCCAGAGGACTTGGAGTACACGTATGAGGCGCTGGATAGCTTCCGCGCCTTTCCGACCTACCCACTCGTACTGTCATTGAAAGGCGAGGCACAAGACACGACCATCTTCAGCGAGATGGTCTCCAGCCGCGCTGGCACGCCTGGATTTCCAGTGCTCGACCCTAACACAATCGTACACGGCGAACAGAGTATCGAGATTATCAGGCCTCTCCCAATCGTCAGCGGCCCTGGTTGGAAACTCAGGAAGCGCGTTTGCGCGGTGCATGACAAGGGTAATGCGCTGATTCTCGAAACTGAGATCAAGCTCATCAGTCCGGTCGGAGCTGTCCATGCCGTAATGATTGCGTGAGTTTATGCTCTGTCCTTGAGCATTCTCTTGGACAGGCTGTGGATTACTGATGCTACGTGTTCGATGGCTTGCAGCGCCACCTTCTACCGCGGCGGAGGCCAAGGAACGGGCTACAGCAGGTCGATCATTCGCAAGCCTCCTGGCGCGGGTAAACCCCCTGCGTGTGCTCCTGACCTGACGTTGTCCGAAAAGACAACTCCAGCTCAAGCAGTCCTCTACCGCCTAAGCGGGGACTACAATCCTCTGCATATCGATCCACAAATAGGCGCGCGCGGTGGATTGGGAGGCGTCATCCTACACGGCCTCTGCAGCTACGGACACGCAGCTCGAGCCGTTCTTCGCACCGTCGAACCCCAAGATGGCAAGCGTGGCGCTCCCGCTGCGCAGCTCAAAATGCTAAATGCAAGGTTCACGAGCCCTGTCAAGCCTGGTGACGAGCTTGAGACCAAGGTGAGCAGCGTCCCGGCGTACATCATGAACAGGGGGAAAGGGTCGCTTAATCGGGTCTCCTTTTACTTTTGAACACAGGTCTGGAAGGTGGGTGAAAAGGAGGGAGCTATAGAGCTGCTCTTCGAGCAGACCATCGTCGGTGGCAAGAAGAGCTTGGCTGGCTATGCCCAAGTCATCCCGGCTTCCGCAGCGCAGTGTGGCGCCAAACTTTGAGCAAGGCTTGAATGTCTTTCGCAGCGAGCTGGCACTCTGTCAGGGCGGAAGTGTGAAGAAGAAATGAATGCTACGCGATGTGTTTATATTACTGAACATTTGATGAACCTGTGTTGGCGCTAAGTAGCAGTCCCCGTCTCCAGCCGACATTATGAAATCGCAAGCGATGGAGACAACATGGATTTTTGCTCAGCAGAACCTATCAAAAAAGCGTATCTATCGATATAAAATAAGAACTGCTGCCTTAATTCACAACTATCACGACGGCCTCCCTTATACTCGGCTCGACTGATACGGTATGATAGATTTGAGGTGTTTGCGACTAACGCATACACATACATAGCAGGTGCCGCTTGGTTCTAAAATATTCCAAAGGGCTGTCAATCACAGGGGCGCTGACAAAGGGTGAGGCAATACGCCTCACGCTTCGCGCGTCATAACTTGATCGTTCATGAACCATCCTCATCACTATTGATTCATCTGGAGGTGGGGCAGATGCCTGAGACTCTCATCACTGATCACATCGCTGCTTTGCAATAGGTTACACTTGAAATGCAACAATTTATGTCTTCCGCCTTTTAGCGTGCGCCCTCGGTGGGGCCAAGGATTGCCCCTTACGATACCACAGGTCGGTATGCAGCGGTTGAAGCAACGCGAAATTTTTCACATTTTACACACCACTGCAAGTAATTTGTGATCGCTATTGCCTTCGTACACTCTAATATCCTCACGGTCACGACGTTGACTCTGAAGAAGTGTTGGACGCCTGATCTCAGACGACGCTGCTGCTAAGCGTTAAAAGAATGCCATGTCAGTACATGGCTTTGTAAGTACAGGTCGTCGAGTTTAGCTCTGGCTGGGCTGTAATACAAGCACAGGCTGTGGCCCTGTAGGCTGTTACTGCTGAGAGGTTTCATGGCACCACAAAGGGGGAAGCAGGAGGCTCCAAGCTTATCTCATCTCCTCGCGCCGCATTGATTTGCACTAAATTGTATGTAATACTTGCGCGTCACCAGGAGCGAACGGAAGCTCCGAGCTCACTCAGCGCCGCAGCATGAGACCTGTGTGGGATAGTTTGTTGCTCGCTGGGGCGTCCGGGCTAATGAACCGCTGGTGATGGACTCAACTATGGTGAGGGAACATTGCGCCTCGGGTGAGTCTCGGTCTCAAGTGCGCCCAAACACCCACCCCAAGCGCCGACTCCATGTCATTGTCAAGTAGTCGAGCGTCCGGCGTTTCCCTTCCGAGCTTCACGTAATCCAAGAGCGGCATTGCCGCTGGAATCTAGTCTCCAGTCACGATGCTGTCAAGCCTCATGACCTTCGCTGGACTGTCAATTTACGAAGCACGCGCAAGTTAGTGTCGTACTGTGAGCATGGCTTCAACTCCCGGCCCCGCTCGAAATTTTTGGCTGCATTCCAGTGAACATACCAGATTGTGCACCAAATAGGCTCCATCTCCAAATGCTTCACTTCCATCAACAACTTGCACTTTGTACTTCATACACTTCGAGTACAGTTGCTTTGCATTCAAAACCAGCCTCTCCCATATGCTCCTCACACGTCATAGATACGGTTTCGACGAATTGACAGCACCGTTCAGAGGGCCTTGGACGGATCGGAGGCAGTATTTGTTCACTTGACCCATTTCAAAACCGTAAGTCTGACAATCTCCAGCTGTCTTCGTGGTTTCCAGGATTTACATTATCTCCTACTATGGGAAGTTGACCAGTACCGACGGCATTGCAAGGGTTCAAAGTTGCTAATTATGGAGCTTCAGAAGTTAAATCAATTGAATTCAGATATATGCTTGGTCTACAACACCAACTTGAGCCTCATCCAAGTCCTCTTTTCGGTCTTGAAAGACCACAGGAGCGACCACCCTATAGGCTTACTCATAACGCAGATCATTCCACATGGAAAGCACGAACCGCGCAATTGCGGCCGTCGTGCTACTTGGTGCAGTCGTCGTCAAAATTCCTCATTCGGGGCGACCGATCAAATAGCCATCCCTTCTCTTTGTCTACGGCGTGATTCATCCAGATTTATATTTGTAAGCATGCTTAGAGTTGCATTGGGTCGCAGCCGATTGTCGCTTTATGAGTGGAATCCACTAGCAACAGCGTCCAGAGATTCTCGTTGACGTGAATGGGCATCAAACTACTTGCGCATCCTTCAGGAGCCACTGTCTCTGCTGATCAAGCAAACATGCGCGCATCCGTCGGCCAGGTCCTTCAAAATTACAGCGAGCTCAGAAAAATCAAAATTCAGTTACACTCGCTGCCAAAGCATGCAACCCGTCCCGATTCTTATTGGACAACAACCGCCAAACGTAGGTGTTGATGAAGGAGGCCACACGCTGACTCAGTTCTTTGGTCTCAAGCGTGCAAATGCTTTTTCGAAGAGCATCTCACAGAAGCTCATCACATCTCCGTTGAGCCAACAATTCAGGTCACAGAGGCAGATCACCTCCTGGGTTTCGACGATATTAAAGCTGGAAATTCAACGAAGGAAAGCGTTTTGGTCCTTCAGCTCGAGCTCGAGCTCTTGTGTTGGTAGTGAGAGTACGACGTTACTGCTTTCCTTATTTCACATCTATTCCTTCTGTTTCCTCCCACTCATTTCCCTCCTTCAGTTGGTACTGTTACCCTTCCGTTTGGTCCATCCAGCTCCACGGCTGCGCCAAGCAAGAGTTCGCGCTGCTATAACACGTGTTGCAAGTCGTCCCAACACTAAGTTTAGCACAATCTCCTCACTGTTAGATCGGTTTACCTACCTCAAACAACCTGTCTATACGCTCGATGTTTGTAGCTATCACTTTACGAAGTTTTCAACTGCGTCTGCGCGCAATCAACATCAACAAAACGCTACAACAGCCGCCCTCGAAGCCAAAGATCACGGGCCTTTGCCATGAGGGCTAATTATTCATGGAAATCAGGCCGGAAAGACAAGACGAACGCCAGCAGTCAGACTTGCACTGAGGCCTGGCACGCAAGTTTATTCTACCTTTCAATGCCTCGATCGCTCCAGATTTTCCATGTGTGGAACTGGCGCCGTTCGGGGCGTACTCGGCTGTGGCAATCTCAATCGTTGGTATGGCGCTGTAAATACATACCCTAGGCCCTGTAAAGAAGAAACCAACCAATGTCAGCGAGTCATCCGTTCCCATTGAAGGACTCATGGTTCGCGCGAAGCCTGAGATGGGCATTCCGAGCACGCCAACCCAGATTGATATCCTGTATTAGGCTGGCCTTGTCATATTGGCCTTCATGGGCCACAGTATGGTGATCGGGCATTACAGGCCCCTCTGTACTTGACATTTAGAACAATAAAGGGGGTCTTGCTCTGATTCTATGTCACTGCAATACAGCAAGCACACGATTAGCACAGGGGTCAACGTATCTGTACCCTGCCCCCATGTTGGATCTTCGCTCACTTGTCTGCTCCAAATAAACACTGTAAATGACAGACGAGCGAGGATAGGTAAATTAGATTCGAACCAATTAGAGGCAGGCATCAAGCAAGGTGTCGTGGAAATTAATACTGACGGTCCACGTCTGGCAAACAACAGTAGAAACTGTGCAAGGTACAGGTTGGATGATGGAAATGTAGGATTTGAAGATGGTATCGCTTTGGGTCATAATCTGTCTCTTACCTGGAATGCAGCCAAATTCCGAGCGGGCCAGAGAGTGAAGCCGTATTGAAAGTGACGATATTAACTCAAGTGTAACATGCGAAGTGCCAGCCTTCCTTCTCTGGCTTTGCTGCCTTCTCTCTATGAGCCGAATCTGCATGGGCTGTAGCTTAGGTGTCGTAATGGTGCCATGTCTATCAATTGCGAAGCGTCGTGCTCAGAGTATACAGAAATCAAAAGCGATGAAAAGCGATTGCAAAATTTATCTGATCGTCCACGAGTGCAAGAAGCCAGCAAAAGCAATGATGCCAACTGTCCAGAAGCCGAGGTGATAGTTGAACGGCCACAAGTGCGCTTCAACGCCACCCTCAATCGACTTGGCCCAAACCATGCCCCCGCAAATGGGGCCAATGAACCGTGCTGCTGAGCTTGTGGTCTGAGCCAAACCGTTGGCTAGCGGCACGAGGTGCTGGGTCGAAGGATGGTAAGGAAGCAGTTCAGTTATGGGTGGTCAGAAGCAGCGCTTGCTTCGATCAGCTCTGACTCACCGGCGGCGTCATGGCGTTCATCAGGACAGTAATGGCTGTGAAGGCAGTGACGTTTGCCAGCCAACGGATGGCGGCGAAGAGAATCATGCCCGACATGACTGTCAGGTCGGTGGAGGGGTGCAAGAATTTGCGAAGGAAGGGGAAGAGGATGTAGCAAGGTAAGTAGATCGCGAGGCCGATCCTGAGCATGGCAAGATGCGAGAATCTGCCAGCGGGCGGGCCGACCTTTGGGTAAAAGACAAACTGGAAGAACATCTGACAGAACGCCATGGCTGCAATCAGCTCGGCGTAATGCGCAGCTGTCAGGCCGAGTCCTCCCGAGGAGTACGGAGTGACGAGGAAAGCCATGAAGACTTGCTCAAAGGTCGATGAATGCCAACTCATGATGCCGTAGTGCGCAATAATGACCAGCGGGAGCAGTCCGAAAATGGAAGCCGAAGACGGCGCAGCAGGTTGCGCTTGCGCGGCAGAAGGTACGGCCGCGTGCATACTGGCACTCTTGGACTCTGGAATGCCAGCCAAGGACGTCTCAAAAGCAGGCGCCCTCGCATCCGCACGCAGCGTCGGAGCTCCTTGCATCGACGGCGACAGCAAAGCCATGGGGGATATGGGGCGCTCCAGCCCGGAGTTGGCGTACAGACTGGGTACTCGCGTGCCACTTGACGAACGTCGGGCAAAGCGGGCACGCGCCGGGCCACCACTGTTGCCCGTTGCATCCGAGTAAGCGCCGCGAGATGACTTGCGTTGCGCAAAGTTGAGCGGTAGAAGATGCCGCGGCGCAAGTAGTGGAGAGTCCTCCGCCGCGTTTGATGCTATGTCTGCATATCCGAACCGAGCACCGCCGGTGGAGTCCTCCGTTTCGTCTCCGATCATCTCCGAAGCGTCTTCCTCTACGTCCTCTTCATCTTCATCGTCCAGGAAGACGTCCTCGTCTATCGCGCTGTACGTGTCATCGCCATTGATCGCCGCTGCAACCCAGAGATCGGTAATGGACAAGACGGCATCGTCGTTGGCGAGCAGGAAGCGCTGCGCAAAGTTGAGCTCGGGCTTTGATGGTGTGGCACCGAGCTCCTCAAAGTCAGGTGCGTACAGATTCGCAGAGATGCCCGACACACTGCCGGCCCATTGCGAATGAGGCCTGCCGCCGGCTCCGCCATGCGCACCGACCCCACCCGCGAGGCCTGCATCACCGAAGGAGACATTAGCACCGCCGCCACTGCCGCTCGCGCGAGAAATGCGCCGTTGGTCATATCCGTAAGCAGACCCTGGGGAGAGGATCCCCTGTCTGCGGAAGTCAGTTCGAGAGAAAGGCCGAGAGCCTGATACGTCTCGGGGTCGTCGCAGCAGCTGAGAGGAGCCGCGGGCATCGACGAGGACGTCGCTCTCAACTGGGGATGGAGGACCGCCTGTCTCGTAGTCGACTTGCTGCGTGAAGGTGCGCGGGAACAAGGGTGAAGAGAGGATATGTTGCCTGGTTGAGCTGGTGCCAGCGGCTGACGTATGCGACATGCCTACACCAGTGCTGCCGACAGCTGTTGACTCAGCGACAGCGGCACCAGCAGCAGCCTCATCCGTGTCCTGCTTAGAGAAGTAACCGCTGATTCGCTTTGATGCGGACCTGCCGAGGCTGCCGGCGTTGCTGGCGATGGTGTACGATGCGCGCTCGATGTCGATCTTTTCGGGGAGGGAGATCGCGCCAGTGCGTGGCCCGCCGTCTGGGCCGATGAACAGCGCGAGAAAGGCGCCGAGGGTCATGAAGCTGGCTGCTACGATGCAGGGGAGCAGGTATGGGTACGTGGAGAAGTAGTACGAGTTGCCAAAGATCGCTGGGTACTTTTGCACGGGATGCTCGAGCAGGCCGCCGAGAATAGGTCTGTTCGAGGTGGCATAGCGTGCCGAAAAAAGGGGGAGGGGGCGAATATATGAGCGTCTCACAACCAATGCAAATATCAAACTCGTCGATATATGCATGTAGGAGTGCACTCACCCGATGATACCGCCCATGCCCCAGCAGAAGCCCATGATAGCGTATGCCCTGCCCTCGTTCGTCTCGTCCGTCAAATCTCTGACTGCGCCCTTGGCGACACCGACGGCGCCGTTGAATAGTCCCTGCGCAAGGCGGACGCTGAGCGCGGTGGGTAAGTTGGTGGCCATACCAAAGAGGACCAGGCTGGTCGCGTTGCCGACGAGCGAGACGAGCAAGACGGAGCGCCGGCCATGCTTCTCGGCTACGCTCGCCCATAGCATGCTGGTAAGGAACTGCGCAAAGAAAAATGCGGACGCGACAATGCCCGCCCAGAACCCCACCTCAGCCTCGACGCCGACGTTGAAGTCTTCGATCATGAAGAAGAGGAACGGACCAGCAACACCGGCACTGGCAAGGAGACACATCAGCGTATGTACGTCTTCTTCCAAGCATATGCTTCGGAGGATAGAGTAATGCGTAGGACTTCAGGACTCACGAGGAGAATTCGCCAAAGATGGTCAGGCACAGAACGACGAACGGCAGTGTTGGAATAGGCGTCGAGTACGGATCACTCTTGACGGACGGGATCATGGGTGGAATGAAAGGCTTTGCTTGTTCCCCTCCTCCATGGCCATCAGTGTTCTGCAGCCCATTCAAAAAGTTCTCGTCGAACCGGCTGTCCTCGCCGCCATCTCCGGCGGCGGCGCGGTTGCGGGGCGCAATAGAGCGATGCAACGAGCTAAAGACAGACGAAGCGCGATTTCCTCCCCTTGCCGCGCCCACCCGGCTATCTTCTGCTGATCCAGCAGCGGCGCTGCTGCTGCTGCCAGGCGCGGTTGCAGGCGAGGAAAAGAGGCCAAAGGACGCGCGATGCAGCAGATCGCGTGCATGGTTGCCAGGGCTGCTTCCGCCTTTACAAGGGCGAGTACCAACGCCTGCTGCGGATGCCGATCCAGCGCGTCGCTTGAAGCTCATATTAGTCCTCCTCGCATTCGTATTCCCGCTCCCGCTTGTGCGCCTTGTTCCTGCAGATCTGGCTGATGGGCCGGTCCTGCCACCATAGGTGAAGCTTTCGTCGCCTGCGTCGACCGATGTGGTGGTTGTTGTGTCATCCTCATCGACGTCGCGAGCGTCGTCTCTAGAAGCTGCTGCAAAGGCGGCTCTGGCTGCCGGAGGAGCTGGCGGTCGCGCAGCGCCACTGCTCGAGCTTCCTCTCGGCAGTCCGAAAATGGCGCCTGAGGGCAACGCGGCTCGGGTGGGAGTGCGTGGGCCCGCACTTGGACCGCCTACTCGACTGGACATCAAGATGGGTCCGCTGACCGTTGCTGCATGCATGGCAGGCTTGTTGCCGGGCGTCGAAGACGAGTGCGATTGCTTCTGCTCAATGGTCGGCTGCCGAGCGGTGCTGCCTATCGTGCCGTAGTCGACATGGCGCGACATGTCGCCAGACATGGCGTTGCTGACGTCCTCGTCTTCGGTTCCGTTCGGTGACGCGTTATGCAACGGTTCGAGGCGGCTGCTACCGGTGCACGAAGCGACGTCGATGAGATTGCCAATCACGACGTTGCTCCGACTGGATCCGCTCCCAACACTCTTGAGAGGGTCCGGCGAAGCGAGCGGGTCGACGTAGAGGGGTGAGGTCATTATGGGCGATGCGGAGGCAGCTGTGAGATTGGATGTTGGATATTTAAGACGATTGAACCTCTATGTGTTTGCAGGTACGGGCAGCAGAGCGTACAAGCCCCGTTCCCAAGCTCACTATGGGGAAGATGTGAACTGGTAACGATCGTGCTGTGTGCACGACTGTCTGAAATAATGTCCTCTGAGCCGATCAGAAACACGTCGACGTAAACATGCATGCATATACACGCAAACAATAAGTCTCCCCGAGCAGGGGCTTGTGTTGGATTGAGCCACCGAACTCAGCTCTGTTGCTGTATTCGGGATTTGAAGGTTGCCGCGGTTGAGCTCGAGGCGCTGCCGGCGCAGCACGGACGAAACGATGGATCCCAATAATCCAATTTGGCCCTTTGCCCACGATGCCTGCGTCCGTTATCGTTCCAGCGGTGCACAGTAGAGCGCGCTCGCCTTCACCTGCTGCTCACAGTGCTGCCGATCTAGCTGCATCGATGACCAGCTGAGTGTGACACCTTGCTAGATGTGGTGACTTATGACTCGGCTCACCTGTTGTGAGGGATGGGAAAGGATCACGTGACCATGCATATTCAGCTCCGCCCCGACATATCCCCGCTTATCATTCCTCCCATCCTGGACTATGGTATTTGCCGGTATACGGTGCTCAGACTTGCATGAATCTAGCCATTATCCCTGCCTTCGTAGAATGCCGCTGCACCTCTGCGCATTGGCCGACGCTGGTCGGCGACGGTCGCAACTATGACATAGATTGGGGGAAAAGAATGCATGCATGGAGCACAGCTAGACTTGACTGCGGAGCCCACTCAAAAAAGGGGCTTCAAGAGAAATGCACCCCCAACCCACAAGACGAAAGAGAAGCTGCACGTTGCAGCGCTGCTGGTCTGCGACGTGACAGGCAGCGCCCAGATCGCAATACAGCCACTCAGGCTCAAGCTCTTGCGGCTCTGGACATCCGCGGTACGGACTCAAAGCCAATGTCCTGTAAAGGCACAGCATAAAAGAACGACCAATCCTGTCGCACATTCCTTCAATCAGCGAGCAGGCAAACCCTACCCGAACGAATGCCATAGTGCTGAAGATGACAGTATTAGGCCCAGTTGGTGGAAAATTGTCGACAGGGCGGCGCGGTCTCTGCGGACGATGTCGGGCATGGAGTGAGGGAAACGACCTGCATGCATACTTTGATGGATTCTCTATCAACAGAAGAATCCGATTTCAGTACCAGAAATGAGCCAGTTGATAGCTCGCAGGTAAAATACAAGCTCGCTCTACAATCAACGCCCACCCTTTCGAAGCAGCCTTTGTAACATGAGCTGCGGAGCAGGCCAGGCAAAGGCGCGCTTCCACCATGCCTTCCAGATCTCATATGACACAAATGAACGATGCAACTTGGAAGCTATCTCGTTTAATGATGTACCGCGACAAGTCAGCCCATGACTGCCTCTTCGACAGCAGCCACGGTTCCTATAAAGTCACGGCAAAGCAAACGCCTTGTTCTCGTCGTCCACAGGTCCCTCCGAAGAGGAACCCTTGGCACCCTCTGGCCGGCTGAAAGCGGTCAAATAGAGGGTGTGGCTGGTCGCTGGAGCGCAAGAAAGCGTCACACGCAGAGACACGCAGATGGAGAGGGTGTTGGCGTCAGTCTTTCACCTCTTCCTGGTTCAAAGGAGCCCAAGCAGTACATTCTAAGGGGAACTCACACTTGCTGTTTTGATCATGGAAAGAAGGGAAACGAAGAAAGGAGCTTGAAGGAAGAAAAAAAAGCTTTTGAAGGCAGGAAGATGTCAAACTCGGGGCGGAACTGAGTGCAGACACGATGAACAAACCATTGCTGCGGCGGCGGAAAGTGGAGTGTTCCAAAAAGGTGGGCAAGGTGAGATGAACATGGAACCTAGAGAACGAGGCGACAACGAGAGTAGAACGATGAAAGCTGAGGCCCTGGGGCTCATGGGCATTGTTTACAAAGAGCATACAGGCTATAACGAAGCACCCATAGCTGCAGCGTGTCGAAGCTGCTTGGCGCAGTGACCAGTAAAACGACTTACGAACACCTTCCCGCATGTAGCGCTGGGTATATTCCTCACTTTCCACGGGCCTCGAAGCTTTACGAGGGTGGAGTCCTACGCCATTGCTTCATTCTGTCTTTCAACTGTCACGCATAAACGCTCCATTTCTTAAAAGCCGCCTGCTGAGTGCTGCATATCCCACTTTAACAGCACGGATTGACGACTTATGTCCCGTGGCGCTCCTAACGTTGATCGTCGATGAGGTATCGCGTCTGAGACTTGGCACGACGCATAACGATACCCACTGCGCATGAGTAGTATACAATCAAAGAAGAAAGGCAAAGAAGGAAACAGCAGCTCTCAACCAAATGTCTGCGAACTCCTGCCGGCCCTTTTCTGCTTGCTCAGCCTCCAGTCATCCTGGTTCGCAGCGTACTTGTCGAACAGCGGCTGGATGCGTTCGCTCCGCTTGCGCTTGCTCATGATCGCTGGGTCAGACACCTTGAAGTACCTCGGCGCTACCTCGATCAGCCACTTGGGCTCGATCGCTGTCACTTCACGCATGTACTCGCGCGTCGTCAGCACGACTTCGTGGTACACGCAGAACTCTGGTGCGCGGTTGAACAGCGACGACGACGGGTGGATGTACACTGTCCCGCCACCCTCCGCGAGGCACTTGTATCCCTCCTGCGGATCTTTCTTGGCGGCGTTACGGAAGAAGCCAGAGGTAATGGCTTTGCGCACACGGTTGTAGTTCTTGCCGCAAGAGATGATGTCGTGGTTGTATCGGTCCATGATGCCCAAAAGCTGCTTGCGCACGTCCTGTGCCCGGCGCAGCGAGCGTCCCTGGATGAAGTTATCCATGCACCAAGGCATGGAGAATTTGCTTGCCGCCCAGCCATTGTAGACAGTGAGCAGCGTCAGGTGATCTCCCTCGGGCTGGAAGACTGTTAAGAAGATTGAGCAAGTATAAAAGGTCAGCTATGGTGCTTCTTTGTACTATCTGAAATCTAGAGACACTCACACTTTGCTTTCTTGGCATCCGCCTGCGCTTGCTTCTCCTTAGGCCGATAGAAGACATTCTGCACGCTCAGCATCGCGACAATGCTAAGGATCTCCTCGCTGCACCCAAGCTCGACGCTCGCGATGACCATTTTTGCCAGCTGCGGCTCCATCGGAAAGTCAGCCATCTTACGTCCCAGGCGGGTGAGTAGTCCTTCATCATCGAGCGCAGAAAGGGCATACAGCGACTCGAGCGCCGTCAACATGGTCTGGTGCGGCGGCGGATCCATGAAGTCGAAGTTGAGCAGGTCATTGATGCCCATGGCCTTGAGTAACAGAATCGTCGACGACAAGTTCTGCCGCTGGATGTCTGGAATCGGATTCGGCAGCATCTCGTTCCGGTACGCCGCTTCTGTGTAGAGGCGATAGCACTTGCCAGGACCGGTTCGGCCGGCTCGGCCGGATCGCTGCCTCGCTTGCGCCTGAGAGATAGGTGTGACAACCAGGCTGTCCATACCGAGGCGCGGGTCGTACGCATTCTGCTTGACAAAGCCCGGGTCGATGACGTAGTAGACGCCGTCGATGGTAATACTTGTCTCGGCAATGTTGGTAGCGATGACGACCTTACGCGCTCCTGGTGGCGCAGGTTCAAAGATCTTGGACTGCATCTCACTTGGCAATGCAGAATAGACCGGCAGAATGATCAGCTCTGGTACCGATGGCCCTAGTGCGCGCATCCGCTCGTATAAGATTTCACAAGAAGTGTCGATTTCTTCTTGTCCTGTCAAGAAGACGAGGATGTCACCCGGTGGCTCGGAGAGATGGATCTGCATCACGGTGATGAGCGATGCATCAAGGTAATCGGGCTCCGGCTCTTTCGTGTAGAGAATCTCAACCGGATACGTCCGACCAGGAATGGTGAAGATAGGGCAGCCATAGAAGTACGTAGAGAACTTCTCCGCATCGAGCGTGGCAGATGTGACAATTAATTTGAAGTCCGGTCGGCGCTTGAGCGTCTTCTTGAGCAGACCGAAGAGGACATCAGTGGCGATGGTGCGCTCGTGCGCCTCGTCTAGGATGACGACTGAGTAGTTGGTTGCATCTGGGTCGATCAAACACTCCCGCTGCAGCATACCGTCCGTCATGTACTTGATACGCGTCTCCGGACTGGTGCAGTCTTCGAAACGGATCGTGTATCCAACCTCTTGTCCTACTCGACACCCTACTTCTTCCGCCACACGTTTGGCGACCGAGACAGCAGCTACACGACGAGGCTGGGTGCAGCCGATCTTGCCGCGATCTGCAAAGCCTTCCTCGGCAAGGTACTGTGTCATCTGGGTTGTCTTGCCTGAGCCTGTGTCGCCGACGACTACGAGGACCTGATTGTCTCGTACAGCTTGTACCAACTGCTGGCGAAGCTTATAGATGGGCAAGCTCGCGCGCTGTTCTTGAATGCTGAGGCTAGTAATCTTGCCAAATGTGGTCGCCTTGTTGAAAGTTTGTTTCTTCCACTCTGGCTGATTCTGGGCCTTCTGCCCCAGCAGGTTGCCTTTGATATCTTGTGCAAAAACGCGATCATGTTGTTGCGCCATCGGATCTTGCCAAGCAGTCAGATCGCTCGCCTCGGCGTCAGCCTCGTCATTGAGCTCCTGCTGACGGAGCTCTCGCCTTTCCTTCGCTAGCGAAGCCCCCGCGAGAGCCGCGCGATTAAGCGTTCCGTCAGGCGCTTTGACGATTTTAACTGGAGACAATTCGAGTGACGCTGATGTCTGGCCGGCAAGGAAGGGTGCCTCCTTTTCGTTGACTTCAATGTCGACTTCCTCGTCGGCGCCTGCATCTAGCCCGCCGCGAGTGCTCGGTGTGACAAATTCCTCCTCTTCCATCAGCTCTGGGTAATCCCTCGGGTCAGCAACACCACTCGCTATGAGCTGCTTGAGCTCCCACCTCTCGGGGCTTGTGAGACGTCGCGCAGTGTTGGTGCCAGGCACATCGTCCTCGAAGCCCTTCTTGCCCAGAGGAGCGGTATTCGCGCCAGTGCCTGCAGCTTGGGCATTTCTTCTGGCAAAGCGCTCCTGCTCCTCCGCCATCTCTGCTTCGCTCTTGATCCGGAGGTGAGGTGTCAAATCGCGACCAGTCGATTGATCGACGTCTGACATTGACAGCTTGAGTCTCCCGCCGGTGCCCATGACTTTGACCTTGATAGCCTGGTTCCGAGATAAAACATCTGAAGGGTGGTTCACGCGCTGCCCGCCACCTGAAATAGCGCTGATGTGCACGAGCCCTTCAACCCTGCCACGCACGCCATCAAGCTGGACGAAGGCGCCAAAGTCTTTCAGGTTGGTGACCCGTGCATTGTAAATCTTGAAGAGTACCGGCTCGTCGTCAAGTCCTCCATTACGCAAATGAGCTGGTGGTCGATCATCCCTGCCCCTCCACTCGCTGCGGTATCCCGATCCTCGTCCATCCGGCGAACGCGATCGCCTCCGTTTTGGCGAGCGCTCGCGGTCCCTGTCGTCAACCTTTCCTCGCTTGTCAGACGTCTTGTTTGCGAGATCCGCAAAGTCGCGCATGAAGCTCTCAACAGCATTTGACGCTTCAGAGTCGTTGATGTCCTTGCCATTTTTGCGTTCTTCTACAAATGTAGACGGCACATCCTTGTCTGCGATGGCAAGACCCGGAAACAGGCGACGCCTGCGCTCTTTTTCCGCGTCGTCTTCTATTTCTACCGCCTTCCCCTTCCCCTTGTCCGGCTTCGCGTCCTGTGACTTTCCGCTGAGTTTTTGCCCGATCCTCATGTTGTACTTGGGGTGCATGCGTACGACCAGCCTGTCGATGTTCTCGACAAAGCTGGTGGGGAACTCTGCTCCGACATCCTGCAGCTTCTGCTTGAACTTGTCAAGCGAGCCAGCTTCTTCGTGTAGAGAAATGATGAATTCTGCTAGTGTTCTGTCGTTGATGTCCATATGATTGATGAGTTCATTCGCTGAAACAGTGGCAATGTCAGTACCTTTGCCACGCAGCATACCGGTCTCGAGGATCGTACTCACTGATCTTGGACACCAACGACAAGTACTCGAGCTTGTGCAGTTCATCCTGCCCATTTTGCGCGCCTGCCATCTTTCCAAGCCGAATCTGTATCTGCCTTCAGCCTGCTCTGCAGCCTCGCTCTGGCACATTGGATGTAAGGACAATGTCTTCGTGGATTGTGCGTATGTAGGAGACAATTGCTGCTCGCCACGTAGATGAACTGCGACAAGTTGTGCTTCAACGAGGAGCTGTTGGACTGCTGCGCTCGCAAAACTCGGAACTCGGGATCAGGCGATTGGCGCTCCGGATGCTCCGCAACTATTGAAAGAAATCCACCAGTGTGTCCACAAAAGAAAGAACTCGAAATGTGACCTCGGCCTATGCTCACGTCATCGCAACTTCTGCAATGGTTACCCACGCTCTGGGTTATTGCCAGTATCAGACTCAGCACGGGCAACTTTGGCAGGTCAGGAAATGGAGTGGACCTGGCTGCCATTCTCCGTAGTTTCAAACAAGAAAAACTGTAGCACTGAGCAAGGCTGGACACGGACCACAGAAATAAGCAAGGGCGCTTCATGAGCGTCGCGCCTGTTGCGAGAGGAAGCGCATCAGGCCATCTGCTAGCTTGTTTCGTCGGCAACAGCAGGAGCAATCAAGGCAAGCGATGTCTCCAAACGAGGGAAGTTTATCGGTTTTCAGCGATCCTGGAGCAGCCGCAGATCACATCAGGTCGGGTGTGCGGCACCGGACGCGTGGCATGGCCGCAGGCAGGACATAGTAGTCACGATTCACGCGACACGGCAACGGACAGACGAATATCCGTGGACCGCCAGTATTCCTCAAATGCTCCCCACGCTACGACATCTATATCACCCCCCTACCCATCCGAAAACAACATCACCCAGTCTGAATCAGGGCTGAGCCACGTGCACGAAGGCGTGCAAATTCTGTGCAAGTTCTTAAAAGGTGCAGAGCCTCTTAAGTCACCGTCTCGAAAACTGGAACGTCTCAAAGCGGCCTCACAGTACCTTCATGATCTCCTTGAAGTAACACCAGATTCACCCTACAAACACGCCGAAGTCAATGCACTTGTGGATGCAGCGGCAAGGACTCGGGCGCTGACCGGGCAATCTCTCGGCTACAAGGCAAGTAGCCGTTTGAGTGAGTAATATCTAGGATCCCCACGCGGTGATGGCAAAGCAGCTTATCGAGATGCCCTTTTCTTGTAGTCGATGAAGTAACTCGCAGCGGTCTCCCCGAGGTGGCACTTCAGCTAATCGCGCGGAGGGAAAAATTCGGTGTCGACTACAGCCTATCGATGCTCATAATCATTCAACGAGCACTGTTCAAGAAACTCAACCGCTCAGAGGAATGGACCTTGCGTGACAGTCTGGACTTACCTGGCGCTCCAAAGCGCGAAGGAGAGAACGCTGTAGGCAGGGGTGCCGCTTTAACACAGCAGCTGAAAACCGGCGAGTTAGATGAAGAACGCAAGTGGGAGCCTGCTCCGGATCAAGTCGCTGGCCTCGCATGCAAGCAGAGCATAGTGGACCGTATGAGGCTCGTAGCCGCCCTCGCGCCGATCGTAAACAGCAGCAAGCATGATTTCACACTTCTTTCTCTTCTTTTCTCTGCCCATGTCGGATTGCTTCGTTTCTCCGCCACGATAGCGCAACCCCACCCCTTCAAACACAGCAGTGATCTGCTGAGAGATGAGCGACAAAGACCTTTCGATCACCTGCTTAGAATCTTCGTCAACGCCGCTGCAGCCGGCTTACCCGCTGCAGCCAGTAAGACGAAAGCCAAGAGTACTGAATCGGGCATGAACCCAGGACTAAGGCTCGAATTGGTCGACGATTGCTTGCAATACTGCCTGATGCGCTTCGACTCAGGCTCTAGCGCGGCCCTCGCTGGGAAAGGAGCGCCGGAGGCTATTCGGACGCTCTACAGCTATTTGGAGAAATTCTATCCTGAGGCCGGTAGCGAGATCATCGCACAGACAGAGGCGCAGCTGGATGAGATCTGGCAGACTCACTTTGGTGCTGCTGTATCGTAGACATGTCTGCACCCCCATTCGCAGCTCAACCAAAAAAGGCATGATTGCTCGACAATTGGCCGTGACGCGCAAGCGAAAGGCGGCGGAGATGACACATCGCGGTTGTATGACTCGAATAATACATCATGTCCGGCTCGATCCATCAATCTTCCCAGAACTCTTGAGCAAATTCTTTCAGATGCGCTGCGAGCGTCTTGGGCACTTCCCTAGATGTAAAGCAGAGGCGAACTGAATCAGAATCACTTTTCCTCAAAATCGGCTGAAGGTGAAGGCGCGACTCACCAACCAGCAAAGTGACCACCAGTGTCTTCCGCTTTGTACCACACCAAGTTCAGAGCCAGGCGCGAGATGAAGGGACGTGGTCCTCGAGCCAGCTCGTACGCGAAAGCGCTGTGTCCATATGGCTTGGAACGCGCTGGCCTGTATTCCTGTCGAGGAAAGTCAGTTATAAGTGGACATACGTTTGCGCACAGTTCAAGTCAGTTCGGTAGCTCTACTCACATCAAATGGGGGATACCAGCTTCGTTCGTCGGAGAAGTAGAGCATGAGACTCGTGTGAATGGTGTTGGTGAGTGCGTAGATTGTCGTGTTGACGAGGATTGTCTCATCCGACATGTCTGTGGCGGATGGCTCGCTCTTGTCACCGAAGGCAGTGGAGCGGGGGTCGGTCCAGGCGTGGAACTTTTCGAGCAAATAAGCAAGGATGCCCACGGGATTGTTGTACAGTGCATAGCCAAGCGTCGCAGGCTTCGTGGATTGAAGAGCGACATAGCCACTCCCTGTCGCCAGGTACGCCAGTCCACGCGTCATGCCGCTACAAGGGTTATGGCGAATATGGTGAGTATCGCTGACAATGCCAATGAGAGCAGTGACCCATTTCCTACTCACAGTACTTCGAATGGAGAGTAGAGTCTTCCCAGAACGCGTTGAAACAGGTCACTGTACCCCCTGGTGTGCAATGCCACTGCAGGAACAGTGTACCAAGGCATGTTGGTCGGCGGAGCAAAGTTGGTGTGATAGATCTTGCATTCTGGGTAGTTTGCCAGTAGACGAGTGATTCTCTGTGTCAATGCAGAAGTGATCAGGGATGAGTAATGAATGCCAATGCTGAGCAGCATGTGCACACACCGTACCCCAGTCGCCTCCGTGCGCGAAGAATTTTTTGTAGCCGAGCACCTGGGTCATGAGCTTGTGGATTCGACGGGCGCTCTCGGTTGCATTCCACCCATGCGGAAGAGATCCCGGATTGGACCAGGCGTAGCCAGGCAGTGAGGGGACAACGACGTCAAAGCTCATGCCGGTTTTTTCATCTTTCTCCACGAGGTAAGGAAGCAGTTCCCATGCTTCATAAAAGGATCCCGGCCAGCCATGCGAAAAGACGAGAGGGATAGCACCGGCATGCTGGCTCTTGACATAGATGAAATGCAGGTCGAATTCTTCAATCTCGACCTTGAAGTGCGGGTACCGGTTCAATCGGTCCTCGATCGATCGCCACCACGTTTTGACGCCTTGTCCTCCCCCTTTGCCGCTGACCTTGCCATCCTTGTCCATGGGACTGCCGTCACGCCATGCGTCGACGAGCGACTTGAGTTTCTGCAGGCTCGTTCCGTGACTCCATTCCTCAGGTGAACCGGCGCACAATGGCGCATCTGGCAGCTCCGCGGCGGACAGCTGTGCTGCGAGCTTGTCGAGGCCCGTCTCGGGCACAGAGATGCGAAAAGGCCGCGGCTTCGACATGGCGAGCTGTAGATTGGCTCAGCAGGGTTCAGCGCACGAAGTGATTCCACTATCCAGCAACGAGCAACCCATCCAACGGAAACAGGTCTGACGAGCGATGCTTTATCAATCTACACGATGAACCGCCATGTTTCGCAGCCCCAAATGCCTTACCCGCTTGCTATATGCAGACAACAGCGAGGAGAGTTCGGGTATATGTGTGTAGCCTCATCACCGATGACCGGGATGCGGGGGTTCATTTACAATCTACTTGTACGCACTCAACCCGGACATGAAGTGATGTGTTTGCATCCTTTGCCAGTGTGCAGGCATGAAGAACACCGAAGGCGCTTCTCTTTGTGCGACAGATGCCGCATGTCATTTCGCGACTGAGCAACACCCGCAAGTGCTCCTTTGCAAAAAAAACCCCTTTCACATCGACTGCGAGACATCTTTCCCATGCTGCGAAATGACCGCCAAGGGTGTGCTGACCGTACAATCTGGGCATCAAGCCAAACTACTCTCGAGGGCCAGCACTAGGGTTAAAAGAAAATTCGCTGACACCGTATGGCTCTCGCTTGGCTGGATAGATTCGATGTTGTGCCAAATGTGTGGAAGTCGATGAAGTACAGCATGAAGGACGTATGGATGGTTTTGGTCAGGCAGATGTGCTGGTGTTGATGAGAATCGTCTCATCTGTCGGCTGCGGTTGTGTTTGCGCTTGCGCTTGTGTATGAATTGGCACCCTTGCCAAAGCAGGTCTGCGAGCATCTGTCCAACCATGGAGCTTTTCGGCGATATAAGCGAGCTGGCCAACCGGTTTGTTTCAAATACCCTATGAGCACAGGTTTGGGTGGTCGCAATTCCGAGTAGCCCGTGCCATGTTCCTCATTTTCACGCCACTTTTGAACAGTCCTTCGAGCTCAGTGGAGAATAGAGGGTTTGAAGATGATATGAGAGAAGCCCAAGATGTCAGAGATGCGTTCGGCGGCAAGCAGCGCCTTGCTCAAATCGGGATCCGAGTCTTCCGTGAGAAATTAGTGCTGTAAATGGGGATGGTCAGGAGTCTGAGTTGGTCCCATAAGGCAAGGATTTCCTCTTTTTCCACTCACTGTAATATTTGGCACTTTGTTTGACCTGTAGTGAGAAGGTAGGTGAAGAATGTGTCCCAGTCACAGCCTTGGGTTGCAAAGCTGTCACAGTCCGACACCTCAGTCATGAGCTTTCCTAAGGTCCGCGCCGTCTTCTTGATACTCTAGGCAAGAAGTATCGATGCTGAATTCGAGAAGCCAGACCCTGGAAGTAACAGTGCTACGATATCGAAGAACATCCCGTTCTTCTCGTCGTTTTTGAGGAGGAATGGAATACGAAGGCACGCTTCAAAGAAAGATCCAGGCCATCCGTGCGAGAAGATGAAAGAAATTATACTGGCAAGCGGGGCTTTGCGTGGAATTAGTGGAGGCCCATGCTATTGACATGAGCCTTGAATTGGGGGTGTGCGTTCAAGCCCTCTTCGATCGAGCGCCACCAGCTCTTGATGCCTTGACCCGGCCGTTGCTGCTCATGATAGCGCCTGATAAGCCGGGATACCGTCCTTCCATGCGGCAAGCAGTGGTTTGAGCCTCGCAAAGCCGCGGCTGTATTTCTGGCCATCATATGCACTAACTACGATGGAACTTAAGGGTAGCTCAGCGACCTTCAGCCGAGTCGCCAAATTGTCTGGCGCTGCATCTGGGATGGCGACAGGGAAGGGAGTGGCCTTCGCTGGCATAGCCAGAAAGGTGCGGCAGCTGAGTCACGGTTCGAACAGCGCGCACGAAGCTGCAGATGGCACGATGAGCGATACCAATGCGAGAGCGGACCGTTGAGTATGCCACAGCGTGTACCAACGAGATCACGGTTCGAATCGATCTCGAATCCCCTAGAAGGCATGAGTACGTTAATAATGCAACACACAGGGCAATCCGAATCTCAGGTCGCCACCGTTCCGCCCCTCGGCCCTCCAAGCGCTTTACACTACGTAATCCACAAACCTGCCAATACTCGCTGATATCCTTTTTTGTGCTTTAGAACTCCAAGATCTCGGATCCCATATGTGATCGGACGGAGGCTGGTGGCAATGAGCATAGCTTATCAAAGCCCACGGCGATGTTTGCATTGCTTCCTTGTTGTCACCTTTGATCACATCGATTTTGCCCGCCGGCCCAAACGACGTGTCGAGCCCGTCGGCTCTCAAGCTTAACAAGGATGGATTCAACCGATGATCCATACGCGCCACGCTCGTCGCAGAGCTACGCAAGGGCCGCGGAATACTTGGATAGCTCCGTATCATCAGCAAGTAATACTCCTTCTGACGCGTCCTCCAGCACGAGCTACTGTGAAGCTGGCAGCAGCTCGAGCTCGTTCAAACCCTGGCAGACCGATGGAATGCGTTCACAAGATGCACAAGAGGAGTACGATGAGCCGCTGTTCGGCGGCACACCGTTCCGGGATTCGCAACGAGCTGGCTGCCCACCATTTTCGGATCCTTCCACAGCAGAGGGAGCAGATAGCTTCTCAGGGACGAGCGCGAGTGCCAACAAAGACGAGTTCTACGCCTTGCTGAACGTCGACAAAGATGCATCTGAAGAACGCATTCGCGAAGCATACCGAAACTTGGCGGTCGTCTTGCACCCGGATAAACACACCGATCCAGTGCGCAAATCTGCAGCAGACTCTCAGTTCAGGCGTATACAGGAAGCCTACGAGGTGCTGAGCGATGCAGAGAAGCGCGGCGTATACGATCACTTTGGCGAAGCGGGTCTTAGCTCCAGCTGGGCTTTGTCCGCCAGAGGGAAGACGCCACAGGAAATGCGGGCCGAGTTCGAGAAGGAGCTCCTGGAAAGGAGAACGAAAGAGGCGGAAAATCTCATCAGAAGCAAAGGGGACTTCACCGCGATGATAGATGCGACACCGCTCTTCGCACCGGCGCAACGAATGCGCGGGCCACCGCCGCGTGAAGGGCAGGCGATTACGTTGGGAGATCGGTGGAACGGAGTCGGTGTGACACAGTTGATTGGGAGGCACGGCTTTGAGACGCAGATCTCAAACACCAGCAGCGTCAACTTCACTGGACAAATGATGACGCGAGGAGGTCTAGGTGGCGGCAATCTGATTGGTACAGTCAAGACGCAGTGGAGTTCGCGCTTTGGAACGGAGACTGCCTTGGCGCTTCTTCGACCACGGACACTGACTAGCAAGGGAGCATTTGCGCTCGATGAGAACACGTAAGGGGGAATGCAATCAGCTGTCTCCGAGATCAGGCATGCCAAAGCTGACACTCTACTTGCATCACAGGTTCTTCACTTATGTTGGGGCGATGAACTCGCTTGCGATGCCTCCAACCTTCACGCTGACAGCAGGGCAACGCATTTCGAAAACATCGCTTATGACGGGCTTCACGACCTTCCGGACAGGATCGTATCAGCTTGGCGCTTGGGGTAATCCTGAAAGCCTTAGTTCGATGCAACTCATGCGGCGAGAGCCAGCTGGTGTTTCGATCGGCGTGACATCCCAATCAGGGGAGAGTCGCAGCTGGACGGTTCAGAGCACGCTGAGCACTGTCGATACTTCCCTCTCTTTCGACTGGGGAACGAAAGTCCTCGGCGGAGTGAAGCTGCGGCTGGGAGCCAGTCTCGGCACTAGCAGCGGTTTATCGCTGAACGTCAATTGCGATCGTCGAGTGACCGAGACTGTCCGCTTAGGTCTCGGTCTTACTACTGGGCTCCCGGGTGGTGTGACGCTGCGAATCAAGTTCAACCGACTAGGCCAGAAGGTTGTCGTTCCTATCGTACTTGCACCTGAGTTCCGATCTGACCTCGTCCTCGCCTTCACCGCAATCCCCGCGGCGACCGTGACTGTGCTGCACTACTACTACATCTTGCCCGGTAAACGGCGGCGTATCGAGTCCAAGTTGCAAGAACTGCGCAAGGATAACGAAGAGATGATTAGAGAGCGACGAGAGACTGCTTTGAGCGCACGAAACCTGCTGAGGGAGCAAGCACGAAAACGATGGATGTTTGAGAGCAGCAAGGCAGGTTTTGTGGTCCTTGAAGCCTGGTACGGGAAGAGGTCTGCTTTTCCTCCGCCCAGACAAGGGGATCCAGACCAACTCGAACACGACATCTGGGAGGCAGCTGGCGGACCAACGATAGAGGCAGATTCAGTAGGAGCCAATTCCATCCCGACGACCGCCAGTACTGGCGAGGCCAACTTGGAGTATTGGGACGTCCGCATCCCGCTTCAAGCCATGGTCGCCAAAGGTCAACTGATCATCGCAGGCGGTAGACCAAAGGTGCGTTTGGAAGGTTGTTTGTTTGTCAGTACATGCGTGCCGTTGACCGACAACTTCCCTCTTCTCCACTTTGGCCCACTCTCAGTCCCATATCATGGGCTTCCACGATCCATGCATGGGTGATAAGAAACATCTGCGCGTGCGCTACCTCTTTCGCAATCGGATCCACGAAGTCATTGTGGATGATGTCAGTCCATTTGCAGCGCCTCTGCGCGCGCATCAACTCCAGTAGAAATTGCGATCATGCTTTTTTGTCGACCAGATAATTGTATAAAGTGAGCATTGCAAATGCATCTAGCCCAATCGCCACTTGCGCGTGCTTCTCTGATGATCCAAATGCACGCCAGTCCACTACCCCTTTGCTCCCATTGTATGTTAGGAAAGGCCTCAGGTCTCGAAGAAAGCGCCGGAGTCGACCCTCCTGCCGCGCACGAAGACCTGCGCAATCGAGCGGTCGTCACCGGTGAACAGTAGTTTCTCCAGGATCTGCGGCAGTTCGTCCTCGGGCTCGATGTACATGCCGGGGCAGCCGGTGTACCCGCGCTGATCGCTCCAAGTAGAGGTTGTACGAATGAGGAGCGCGTCAAAGTCCTTGCCAGGTGCTAGGGATCCAATTCGGTTGTCCATCGCGCATACTTGCGCCCCCCCGAGCGTGGCGAGGAAAAGAAGCGTGGCGATGGGCAGCGGGCCTTTGGTAAAATCGTGGGCAACGGTAGCTGTGCCTTCTTTGGGTCCTCCAGCTGTTGCACTATTCGAAGCAGCCGACGGCCCCATCGCGAGAACTTTAGCAACGACCGACGCATCGCGTATGGCCGAGAGCATCGACAGGCCGAATCCTCCAGACACATCCGTGCCGAGTCCGACCTTGATGCCGCGATTGAGCATCTCGCCGATGCGGCTGCAGCCGCTGCGGATGTTGAGGTTACTCGTCGGGCAATGGCTAACACCGCACCCTCTTTTCGCGATGAGCTCCATCTCCTCATCCTCAAGATGAATCGCATGCGCGAGGATCGTGCGCGGCGTTAGCAGAGCAAAGTGGTCGTACACAGCTGTGTAGTTCTCCGCAAAGGGGAAGAGCTCCTTGGTGAAGCTGATTTCGGACGGGTTCTCGGACAGGTGCGTCTGGATGCGCAGCGTCGGGTCTCGCGCCTGCAACGCCGCGATGGCGGAAAGCAGCGCGTCGGTGCATGCTATCGCGAAGCGCGGAGTCAATATGGGCTGCACGAGCGCGTTGCTAAGCTCCTTTTCCCGCTCTTGCCCGCGCACAACAGATGGCGTTGTGCTCCCCGAAGAAGTCCTCGAATGCGTCCCGTGTGCGTGGCCGTTGTATTTTAGCGAACGATGACGCGGCGCCGAGGCGCAAACTGGACTCTGCGTGAATGCTGTCGACGCAGATATCGAGGAAGCGAGCGATATGCTACTGTCCTCTGTGTGGTTGCTGCGGGGCCCCGCTCCTGGTTGCTTGGTCCTTGCAGCCGTCAGTACGATCGGCGCTGAGCTTGCAGGAGAAGTCTGTGCTGTGCCTGTCGGGCTCATTCTGGTAGACGCTGCTGCCGGCAAGGTAGATGCGGATTGGCCGCTCGCGAGCTTCCTACAATGCTCTATAAAGTCCTTCGTGTCCTGCATGCTCTGACTCGCTGTCTTCTCCTGGTATCCCTGTCCACCGTTGCGATCCATCTGGCACTTTCCGATGAATGCGCGCTGGCCCTTCTCATGGCATATGTTCGCAAGGATGATGGACGCATCGAGGTGTAGTGTCGCGTAGTAGCACGCCGTCGTCGTGCCCGAGTCGACGAGGCGCTGCACGACGGAGGAGTATGTTCGTTGTGCATATGACAAGTCTTCGAACTTGCGCTCGCGCGGGAAAGTGATATTGTTCAGCCAGTCGAGCAGCTCATACTGCTGGCCGAGACCGATGTTGGGCACTTGGCAAGCGTGCTGTTGGGGAAAGGGGGGGGGACGCAGCAAAGTAGTCAGGTTGGTAAGCCCCCCTCGGCCGATCTGATCTTTTCTTCAGCCACACGAGCTCGCTCACTGTATGTGTGTCGATAAAACCGGGCATGAGGAATTCGCCCTTGTCAAGGCGGATGACATCGTACGCTCCCTCCTTCCACCCATACTTGGCGGTAACGCGCTTGATCATCGCGCTCTCCAGCAGTGCAGCCTCCGAAATACCCGAGGCGGCGCGCCCCGCGCGCATGCGTGGTGTCACCTGTTCTAATGCTAATGCTTGTGCAGCGCTGCCAAGGTGAAACTCGACGTCAGGCATGCGAGGGACGGCTTCACCTATTAAGGCTTCAGCCGACCGGTCGTTGATAGTGGTGCTGGAGGTGATATCAGTCTCCTGTACCTGCGCCCTTGGACCATCTAGCGAGGAGGATGCGGCAGCTTCTTCTCCCGAGGAGAGCGTGGGAGCATCGATGACCGGGTGTGTAAGTTCTTCTACCGAGTCTTGTTGATTTTCTTCGCTTTGTGGCCGTAGAATGGGTAGGGGGGTGTGCCTGGCTATGGTTGATTCAGCTGGGGATGCCAACTTTGCGTTTCGCCTCCTCGCCGAAGCGACTTCGCCTTCTTCCTCGGTGGTGCTCCCACCCTCACCGTCGTCGTACCCGTGCCCGTGACCATTCGTATGTCCACCCTTTACGCCGGCTCGGCCCATCTCCACCTTCATGTCCCGCTCGACCTGCTCCAAGTCCTCGACGAATCGGATCGTCCCGCCGCTGCCGACACCGAGCAAGCCACGCGTGATGATGTCCATCTCAAGTGGAGAGCGAGGGCTGATGATGCCTCCGATGAACAGACGTCGCGACATGCGAGCTTGTGCGAGGACGGAGGCTGCGGCAGACCTGCCGCCTGTCGACGACGAAGCGCAGGCGGCCGCTCCTAATGATGCCTTCATGGCGTTGATAGTGATGGGTAGGTGGCACCTTTGGTGTCAGAGCTTCACAGCATTGGTGGTACCGAATGCCGTGCTGATTTGTTAAGACCTCGGCTGTTGCCTATATGATGTTGTCCTTGCTCCGTCCAATAAAAGGTTTTCGATGACGAATTTTGTAAGGGAAGAAGTGACTGCGCTCGTGATGTAGGCCGAGTCGCAAGAAGACCTTCTTTGCTACGAGGTGTATGTTGAAGAATGCACAGTCTCTGACAATATGATCCGATCGACATTGCGAACGCCGATGAGCATGTGTGTGAGAGAGAGTTTTAGAGATGGAGTCGGCTCACGCGTAGTACATATCAAGACATCAAAGACATGTTCAACAGCTCCTCGATGGTATCTCTAGCGCGCTAGACCACGATCAGGAGAGCGTGGTTGATGCCGTCTTGAAGAGCAATGTGATCGACTTTCGGTTCCTTATCTTCGGAGAGCGGATGCGGTCCTTCTGTTTTAGTTGGATTGTGATAAGGGGAACGCACCGAATGAGAGCGAGGGAGTTATCACGGAGAAAATCGATTAAGGCTCGGAGACGTCCGCTCACGGCAAACGTGTCTGCAGCTCGCTCAATCGCAAGTACGTCTACGTTGAGGGTCTCTACTTGGTACGCAGCTGCCCATCTCATCGCGGGTCCATCGACATGTAGCGGACATGACTCACTCGGCTGGACACAGCCGTATTATCGTGTCAACCGCTGAACCCTCGCATAGGTGGAGCGGCAGTGACGGACTTGCGGAGAGGGGCAGAAGCGAATCCGGATTCCGGCCTGCGCTGAGTACCCGCTCACCAACGACGGGACGCGTTCCGCGGGAACTTCGCAGCCAATCACTCCACTATTACATCGCTTCTCCGTATCATCAAAAACCAAATATGTATGCACACATCTTGTTGTGAGTGAAGTCTCCTTGCTTTTTACATGGAATACACGTGAAGTGGACAGATAGTCGGTTAGCAGGGTCGAGGAAGGGGCGGTATGGGGGAATGGAGGGAGCAAGTGCGCTGCTCGCCGCTCCCTCAGGCAGACCTGGCCTTAGCCTTCTGCGCCATCAGGTTGAGCGCGCTGCCCGCCTTGAACCACTCGATCTGGCCCTCGTTGTACGAGTGCGTCAGCGGGATGCGGTCCTCTGAGCCGTCCTTGTGCTGCGCGACCAGCGTGATCTCCGAGCCCGGCGCGAACTTGGTCACGCCTTCCAGGTCGACGACGTCGTCGTGGCGCAGCTTGTCGTAGTCGGCCTCATTCTTGAACGTGAGCGCAAGCATGCCTTGCTTCTTCAGGTTGGTCTCGTGGATACGCGCAAACGAGCGCACGATGATCGCCGTGCCGCCAAGGTAGCGCGGCTCGAGCGCTGCGTGCTCACGGGAAGAGCCTTCGCCGAGGTTCGAGTCGCCAATGACGACCCAGCCCTTGCCGGAGTCACGGTAGGCCTGCGCGGTACCCGGGACAGAATCCCACTTGCCGGTCAGCTGGTTGAACACCTCGTTTGCCTTGCCGTTCTCTGCGTTGATGGCGCCAATGTAGCAGTTGTTCGAGATGTTCTGAAGGTGACCTCTGTACTTGAGCCAGGGGCCACCGGCCGAGATGTGGTCGGTAGTGCACTTGCCCTTGGCCTTGATCAGCACGGGCAAGCCCTTAGGGTCCTTCCCATCCCATGGCTTGAAGGGTGCGAGGAACTGCAGGCGGTCCGACTCGGGGTTGATCTTGACCTGTACCGAGGCGCGGTCCTCAGGGGGAGCCTGGAACGTGTCCTGGCCAGGGTCGTAGCCGCGAGGGGGAAGCTCCTTGCCCGATGGGTTGGAGAACTTGAACTCCTTACCGTCAGCACCTTTGAGCGTGTCCTTCGTCGGGTTGAAGGTCAGGTCGCCGGCGAACGCCATGGCAGTGACCAGGTCCGGGGATGCGACCTATATGTGACGCGAGAGGGGGCGAACATGTAAAGTCAGCACGAAAAGTGTACACCGAAAAGAAAGCGGCCTGTACGCACGAAAGCGTGGGTCGCCGGGTTGGCGTCGTTACGACCGGTGAAGTTGCGGTTGTACGAAGTGATGATCGAGTTCTTCTCTCCCTTCTTGACGTCCTGGCGGTCCCACTGACCAATGCAGGGTCCGCAGGCGTTTGCAAGGACCATGCCGCCGGCGTCCTCCAGCACTTTCATCTGTCCATCGCGGGCAATCGTCGCGCGGATCTGCTCCGAACCGGGGGTGACGGTGAACTGCGACTTGACCTTTAGCCCATGGTCGGCGGCCTCCTGCGCGATGCTGGCGGATCGGCTCATGTCCTCGTACGAAGAGTTGGTGCACGAACCGATCAGCGCAACCTTGAGCTCCGAGGGCCAGTTGTTCTTCTTGACCTCCTCGGCAAACCTGGAGAGCGGCGTGGCCAGGTCCGGCGTGAAGGGGCCGTTGATGTGGGGTTCGAGCTCAGAAAGGTTGATCTCGATGTGGTTGTCGTATTCTGCATCCTTGTCCGGGAGAAGGTTCTTCTGGAAGCCCTTGGCAAGCTCGGCGATCTCTGACCGGTTGGTGGCCTTGAGGTAGGCCTCCATGCGCTCGTTGTATGGGAAGACAGAGGTGGTAGCACCAATCTCGGCACCCATGTTACAGATTGTGCCCATGCCGGTGGCGGAGAGCGAGTTGACACCGGGACCCTTGTACTCGATGATGGCACCAGTGCCACCCTTGACAGTGAGCTCACCGGCGACCTTGAGGATGACGTCCTTGGGTGCGGTCCAGCCAGATAGTTGACCCTTAAGCTCGACACCGATGACCTTCGGGCACTTGAGCTCCCAAGGAATGTTAGCCATAACGTCAACCGCGTCGGCACCACCGACACCGCATGCAATCATGTTGAGACCGCCGGCGTTGGGGGTGTGCGAGTCGGTGCCGATCATCAGACCACCGGGGAAAGCGTAGTTCTCGAGCAAGATCTGGTGGATGATACCCGAGCCCGGCTTCCAGAAGCCAATGCCGTACTTAGCAGTGCAGGTGGCGAGGAAGTCGTAGACTTCCTTGTTGATATTGATGGCGCGAGCCAAGTCCTTAACACCGCCAACCTGAGCCTCGATCAAGTGGTCGCAGTGGACAGTGGTAGGGACTGCGACAGTCGGCAGGCCGGCAGACATGAACTGCAGCAGCGCCATCTGCGCAGTCGCATCCTGGCAAGCAACGCGCTGTCCGAAAAAAGCAAGAACATGTGATGTGTCAGTTCAGTACGTGCAAGGACAAGACGAAAAGGAGAGATAGCGCCAAACAGCCGCTTACAGCGCGGCGTGTGCATTTGCGAGAACAAAGGCTGCCAAGTCGAGGTGCCGAGCTACAGGCTGGGTTTACTCACGTCAGGGCGAAGCTTGAGGTAGGAACTGCCGCGCTCGATAATCTGCTCTTGGGGGTTGTCCAAGTGGCCGTAGACAATCTTCTCGGACATGGTCAGAGGACGGTTAAGCCTGTTCGAATGGAGGGGAAGCGAAGATGAGTGCACGAAGGGCAGGATCATCTCGTCAGTACCGTATTTAGCCAAAGGAATACAGCCAAGGCATCCTTAGCAGCCCTTGCTTCATCTTCTGAAGGCGACTGCAATCAAGATACACTACGCTGCCCGAAACATGCCTGAGACAGTGAAGGCAGAGAAAAGGACCCACCGTTGCCTAACAACCTTGAGGTTGTCCTCGATGCGCTTGTAGTTGATGTAGAAGCCCTTGCCCTTCTCGACGATGCTCATGTCGACTTTCCTGGACAGCACAGACTGGTCGATGTCCGACACGTCCTCTGCGACCGTCGCGTAGCCGCGTCGCGCAGTGACGGCGGCGCTACTGCTGGTGCTGGTGCCGGCACGCAAGCCGGAACGCAAAGCTGCGTTGCGCAGCATCCTGGTTGACAGCATGATGCCTTGCTTCTCTTTAGAACCTCGTTGATGTTGAGGTGTGGATCACCTGCAGCCCTTCGCCTCAATAATCTTGGCAACAAGCGGCAAGCAGGAAGGGAAAGCAAATACAGACTAGGCGCAGCGCTTCTTATGCAAAGCGCCAGCTGGGTTTGCAGACAGTCAAGATAACCCGATGACGACGATGTCGAGGTTGGAATGGTTTACTCTGCTTGGACAAAGCAAGAAGAGCAACGAAGGCGACGTAGAAAGAAGAAGCTGTTAGCATTAAAAAAGGGAAAAAGGAAGCGATGGTGTTTCTACTGGCAGAGGAGCGTGCGGCGACGGCGGACGAGGGCTGTTGCACGAACCGGCAGTCCGGCTTTGGCGCGGGCGGCCTCGGCGGCTCTTTCTCCCTCACACGCTTCTCTCAGCCATCACGGGCCGCAGCGTCTGTGTGTCTGTGCGTCTGCTTATCTGTCTGCACACAGGCGCACGGCGGTCGCGGATTTCTTAGTAAGCATCGGAGCGGCGGCCGCTGCGTAGCACACTGACAAATGCGCCGAGCCAGCAGCGAAAAAACCTCCTGGCTGATGACACTGCCCTGGTGCTGCGCGCCTCCTCCCTTGCTCGTTCATCGTGGGTGGGGCCAGGCGAGCGGCGCAAACCGGGATTGCACAAGGGTTTGTATTGCGCGGCTTCTGATTCGCTCCTCCACTCCAATCTCCCCTGGCCAGTGCCAACTGCCTCATATTCACACACGTGACGTGAGTCATCCGTTTACAGAGTTTACCTAATTCCATCGATTCACTTCATTCATGGTTTCATATTCATCAACCCTCAGCTGGTGAAGCGCTGCAGGCTCCAATCAACCACGCCAGCCGTAAAGCTGTGAGTAGGAAGGCGACGCTCATCGAAACAGGAAGCATTGTCGTACATTCCGGTGCTCACGTCGCAAAGAGAAGGCTGTAGGCAGGTCACCGTGGCCCTTTGGCTGCACAGAAGCTCCTGACCCTTTATAACCCTCCATCTTGCATTCGATCGCATCAAGCAGACCCAACGCTCAAACTCTTGGAAACTTTCTCGTACGGGTTCACGTCACAATTGCTCCACACACTTTTGTTTGGGTTGTGTAATATATCTACAAGATGTATTATGCGGGCGATACCAAACATGATAGCGATACGGTATGCGGCGCTGTTGGAAAAAAAGGCTGCACACATGACACAAAGATACCCCTACTGTCCTCTGGGTATGAACAAACGGCGCGCAAGAACGTCGAAGGAGAGAGCTAGCTAGGAGGCGAGGCGGAGAGATAGCGATTGCGATGTTTGCCTGTTACTCGATCCCAAGCACGCTCCTGAGGTAGGCGACACCCAGCACCTTTTGCACCGCAGCGGGGCCTCCGTGGAGTGCTTTGTTGAGCTTGCCCTGCGGCACGCGGACGAGAAAGGAGCGAGAACAAGAAGAACAGTGTCAGTATCAGCGGGTTGATGGAAGGCCTGCCACTGCCCCCCCCCCCTGCACACTCTCGCTCGTGACGGCAGCGTCCGTCTTTTATTCACCGCCGCCAACTTACCTCAAGGGCAGAGCCGCCAACCGCATCGTCCAGGGCCTTGACGAGGTGGAGCACCTTTTCGAGAATACCATCCGGGATCTTGTCGTCGGTGAGGCCTACAGCCTTCTCAACTTTTGTCAAGCCAACCGCATTTTCAAGCTTGCACTTGAGTCATCACAACGAAGGGCAGAGCGATGAGTGGACGCAGAGAGGTATCATTACCAGTCAACGATGGGATGAAACGTAAGAAATGCGTTACTGCAAGGTCAATTTTACTTGTACTCACAATGTTACCGCCAAAAGTCTCGTCAATCTTGCCCCGAAGCCCAGTAATTCCGGCGCCTTTTTCGATTGCAGCGACGAGTTGGCCAACGTTCTGGATCAGACCCTTGGGTGGGTCCGCACGGATCTGGAGTTCCGCCGGGACAGCCAGAACGGACGTGCTGACGAGTAGGAGCGAAGCGAAGATGGCTGTGAGACGCATGCTGCTGAGTGCGGCGTGAGCTTGAGTGGCAAAGTTGCAGGGTAGAGCTGGAGGACGTAGGTGAGTGAAGGGTGGGTGCGAAGCAGGGAAGTAGGTTGCTGGTGAGAGAAAGTTGCCCATGAGATGTGATCAAACTGCGCTGCTTATATACCTTGTTTCCCTTTCCATGGCCGTTGGCCATACCTTTTCGTCCGCCCTGGTACCAGCTAAATCCCCAGGACTGGCGCTGGGCTGTCAGTTTTGTCGTTGAGGTTGGGTAAGAGCATGTGCAAGACCAACGGTGACTCTGCGGTCCAACCGACTTGACAGAGCGCGGGCTGCAAGAGTCCTCCCAGCCATTGGATGAAACAATCGAACTATTCTCTCCGACGACTGAAGAGAGCCGAGCAGCAGCGAGGGTGCGACGCGATTCATTAGATGCGCATGCGCCGTTGATGGGGAGCTTATTTGACTAACCACGTCGGAAGGCGAAGCACGAATCGGGGGGACCATCTACGGCGCCAACGGTCCCAGCAAGTCATGGACAGGAGAAGCGATGGGGCGATGGTCATTCTCGCTTCGGCCATGGGAAGAGTTGGGACAAAAATATGGCAACTGACCATCCAGAATGCAGATTGACAATCAAGAATCTAAGATCTCGAATCTCCTTAGCAGGGCACATAATGGAATCGATTTACTCATTTGAAACGCCGCTACAAGGCGACAAGCTACTGTTGCCTCAGGGGTCCGGGCTCGGTGCGGCAGCGGACTGTGCGCGTTCAGGAATCGCAGCAAGCTGATGCGATGAAGACTCAAAAGATGTGCCATTGCCGACAATGGAGCATTGCTCAACCAAAGGGTATGTAATGGTGTTGAGCCATGACATGTGCGAGTCGCTGGCCACGGGGAAAGGTGGGGCAGCTGGGAGCCATGGCAGCTGGCCCCTGGGGCAGACTCAGGAACCTGCCTGGGGCGCTTTAGCCTTGGGCTACGGAGAAATTGAGACGAGCTAAAAGAACCGACAGCAACCTGAGCAAAAAAGGTATGGAAATAGTGTATGTAGATTGAAGCGGGGTGTAGGGACGAGGACATAGGCCCATTCATGTTCGCACAAATATCTAGCAAGACGAATGTAAATGAAAGCAGCGACAAGCCTTGCCCCGGATATGACGCGAGACAACTAATGGTGGCCTGAGCCTAGACGCCTGGTTGTCCGTTGTAATAAAAGTTGCACTTAGTGGAGAAGATGGTTTAACGGGCAACAGCGTCAACCGCCAACAATTTTAAGAACCGAAAAGGAGCGCCAAAGCGGAGGGTTGATGTTGCTTTACGCACTATATATGTGTGCCTGCGCCACTCTAATGGCACCTGGGGACAGGGTTCAGCCCCGTTCCGCTCGCACTTTTTGCAGATCCGCAATGTTCTCCTTCAGCGATCTCGGCACTTTTGGCTTAACCTTCACTTCCA